GAAAACACAGTCACTTTATCGAAGCTGATGGCGGAAGCTGTGCACTCTTTTTCAGGCACTAGGTCTACAAGGAAGATATACTGTATATGTTTTCAGTCCTTAGTACCTGTATATTTTTTTTATATACAATACAAGCCAATCGTTGAGAAAGCTCAATTAATATACAAACTGGTTAGTCTCAATAGGTCAACAACTATTATTATAATCCTTAACCCTGAATGACTTAAAAGGATTTAATTATGGGTGCCACTATTGAATACTGTTGTATTATTTTCTTTATGGATTGCCATCTCAAGCGTGTCTTTACAGACTTTTGAAAATTCAATATAACATGGATATCATTTTACAACTTATAGGCCTGCTGAACACTATGCAAGTTAGTCAATTAAATAGTAAATGTTTATTTCTTTTAAGATGGTTGACAATCCTGTTCAACTGTAGAAGCAATCCTACCATCATCTTTTTATAATACAAGATAACAGTGGCCAATATTGTTTCATCTTCCATCTGAAATTTAAAACCTCCATTTTGCTCACAATATGCATTTATATATAACTTATACATTTCCAAGTATACTTATATTATACTAATTTCATCAGTGTTGTTCAGTTAATTTTATTTAATCAAAAATTGAAACCCTACTTAATGCCATATAATGTTTTCTATGCTTGTAGTTTGAAGGTCTTTTCATATATTTTCGTTTCTCATTTTGTCTTAAAATAATTAATCTGCCTTAGCAGCTTGATTATGACTACAGACCATATAGGGTGATTATATAAATGGTGAGGTGTAATGTTCCTGTTACATAGACACCCAGCCAAGTAAAGAAATATCAGTAACCACCCGAATGTATTTAGAATAGTGTGAATGCATTTTCGCTATTCAAACATCGTTGAGATTGGAAAGACTCTTGTATCGTAGTCGAATGACAGAATAAACATAAAGTTAATTCACCCATACAGTAGTCCAGTGGCATCTAGGAGACTTTAAAATGCTGTTAGTGGGGTAGTGCTGATGTGGGGTGCGAAGGTGAAGTGGGAGGGCTTGATGATAGTGTTGGGGTTCTAGCTCACAAAAAAACTTGAGCATAATTTTTTTGCTTCGAACATTTTTAATAGGGTGTGGAACTAGTGGGGCACCAGTTTTTTTAGTAGGTGGACTTTTGCTTCAAATGTTTTTAATGGGGTGGGGAGCTAAAGGAGCACAAGTTTTTTTATAGGGTGATTGTGCGAGACATTTTTTGATTATATAAGTGCAGGTTTTTCATTTTCATTTTCTTTTTAAAATTAGGTGAGAGCTTTGCATTCAGACGTCTCCTTGAAGATCCTAATGACGATGATAACTGTACAGACCGAGGCATTAGTAGCTTTCCAACGTTATTCACAAATGAGCAGCGATTAAACGGTGCAATCATCATTAACATTTTAATTGCAACCTATCTGTGTGGGGTTATTGGATATATATGTTCAGCTTACTTTGTTCCCTCCCTGGAAGTGATCAGTGAAAGTAAGAAAAATTTGAAATATATTTATATATTAATTAAATTAATTATGCTGTGTACAAATATAATAATGATAATGGCAAGTGTAATCGTATAAGGGGCGCATGTCCATCTCAGAGAGCTGTTGTGATGCCATATATGAACGTAATTGAAGCCTGCTATCTCAAAACTACTAAAATGATGCAAGTAATTAGCATAAATGTGGCAGTGTTGTATACTCTAGTACAGAGACTGAAGCCGTAATTCTTTTATTCATACCTTTGGCAATAGTAGAGTTGATTCTAATAAATGGTTCATCATCAGAAAGTTCATTATGTGGAGAATGTGGTTATGTTTGGTCACTGATGCTGGGTTTGGCATGCCAAGCCCTAAATTAAGGTTACTCAGACTTGGAGATAAGCCAGGCTTGAGTTAAGCCCAGCTTATGTTAAGCCCGGCTTTGCCGGGCGTTCATACTAGTGGGATTAGCCAAGCTAGAATTTGCATAATAGTGAACCGTAACCAGGAAACCTGTTTCAAAACATTGCTCGCGAAACGTACGCTCACTCACAGCGTACGTAATTGAATGCTGATTGGTCATTTTATCCCCCAAAGTCAATGCAAAAGACCCCCGCAACGATTAAAGCCAGGCTTAGAAAAGTTAAACACGGTGGCACGCCAGGCCTAGTTACTATAGGAACACAACCCGGCTTGAGAAAAGCCACCTAGTTCAAACTGGCAGGTGGATAAACCCGGTGAGTTGAGCCGGGTTTATCCACCTAGTCTGAACTAGGCCTAATAGTAACAGTAGCACTCAGAGGCAGTGTGATTCAGAATTGTGTAAAAGCATAAAAGCATATGTAACAGTGGTAAAATGTCAGCCTACCAATCAAAAGATCTGGGGTTGGATTCTGACCTTGAGCACTTGTTGTGGGCACATTATTCATGTTGTCACTCCAACCAAGAGTATATAATGAGTGCCTGGGCGGTTTGAATACCAATGAGCTTAAAAGCGTTATCATTCCTCTGCAAAACTTTTGATTTTGTCATCCTTTAAATGGTAATTCATTATTTCTATAATTGAATTTGTATACAGTACACATTTAAGGAAATATGTTTTTTTGGAAATTATCGTAGTCTATAATTCTAATACTTCTTGTGTTTTGTTTTTTTTGGTTTTTTTTTAAGGACTTGGGCTACAACCTGATGTTGCTGGTGCAACATTTATGGCCGCTGGTAGTTCTGCCCCAGAATTCTTTTCAGCTGTTATTGGTAAAGTATCTTCTTTGCTATCTTCTTTGCGCTTAAACTATATTACAAATTGTTTCAAATATGATATCACAATTCAACACAATGACGCTATGAGTTATTCTCTTACCTTTCATTTTTTTTTAATCACACATTAGGCAAGACTTTTTTAATTTCTTGTTTCACATACTTATTTCTTTAAAGATCTTCAGAGGAGGGCAGAATAAAAATCAAAATAAAATTTTGTTTTCTTATTTAGCAAATAGTTTTGCCAAAAACGGAGGAGAAAACAAAAATAAAATTTTATTGGTGAATATAAAAATAGGATGGTTAAATGCTTCAAATTTATATAATTTGGAAGAAATATACATATCTTATTTTTAGAGATTTCAAGGCAGCGGTGGGCGTATTAAAAATATAGAAAAAGTTTCATTTTTTCTGAATTTCAACATTTTCGTAGCGGCTGGTGCGCTAATTGGCCAAAAATAAAATTTTTTGTTTTTTCGCCAAAAAGGAAATACTTAGGGGAAAAAATTCATTGTAATTGCACAAAACATCACAGGACAAAAGCTTGGCATGTTGCCTCCAAAACTCAACATCTTGCTTTGTGTCTGTTCACATTTACCTGTAGTACTGTAGGTATCAACAGTACATTATACACATAGAATTATACTTTCTACCCAAGACTTGTATAATGTTAACATGATTGTAGATTTAATTAAAACCAGGCCTAATGATCATGCCAGAAAAAAAAACATGGGGAATGTGATGTTGTGGGAATGGGGTAATGATAGAGAGACGATACCGTGAAGGTGAATCATACAGTATTATAATAACCTATACATGTTTTGTGTTTGTAGGGCTATATTTTGTAAGGGAGCCTCATCCATGGTCCCTGATTGTTAGTGTTGGTTTACCTGTCAATAAGAGTAATAGGCCACTACAAACTGATTGTTGTAAAATTGCATACACTTTATCAGTGCATTAGCAGTAAATGTCTTTCATGAAACTCAAAGCATAGAGACCATGTATTATGTGCTATACAAGTCTCTAACCATTACCATTACCAAACTGAAAAAGGTCAGAGGGAAAATATATCATGTTTGAGGAACGGTAAAATTAAAATAAATATACATACTGTAGGACAGTTAGTTATTAAATTTTCCACTGTACCAAATTTAAATTTATATAACCACAAGTGAAATTCTGTCACCCATGAAAATGAAACTCTAAAGATGGGATAAGATCAAATTTTGCTATCAACACAACTGATGCCATACATAAAATTGCACTTTCAATATGCTAAATTGTACAAACATTCACCATAACACATTCCATATATAAAATAAATATAAAACATCATCTTCTGCTAACAGTGCATTTACATATCTAGAAACAACTTTCTGTGGATTGTTGAGTTTAATGTGAGATTACAGTATTTGTGGAGGTTCACTCTATCCTCCTCCCCCCCCCCCCCGACATCCAGTAACATACCTGTTATAATCAGTTTTAGAATTCTAAAGGGACCTACTTTACACAATGTAGGTGACCTTAAAGGCAAATGTAAACATTAATTGATTATTGTTTTCAACAACGATTGAAATTTGATCACTATATTATACATTACCTGACCTCTTCCTATCAAATGACTAAAGTTCATATTTATATGAGCTCCCTTCAACACCTGTCTCTTATACACATCTAGATGGGTATAAGAGACAGATTAAATCTAGTGTGTTTTTGTTTAAATGGTCCCCACGTATACACCCCACTCCTCACAGCAAATTTAAGAAAATTCATTAACAACCAGAACTTCCCATAGTGGTTTTCCTGAGTGAATTTTAAGTGCAATTAAATTATATATTTTTGATGTTGAATATTAACCTTATTTTAGTCCTATTTAAATCATGTTAATGAGATTTATTAATGTAAATTGTTGATGTTTTTCCCCCTAAATATTGGTGTTTGTCTTGTATTTTGAATGTTTTTATATTTTCTTTTACTACAAATTGTCTCATCACTATACAGGCCTATGTTCGATTGCAATAAAGTTTAATTCGAATTTGAATAACTTGGGATCATTGGTGTCTCACTACATTTGAAGTAAATATAGCTGCTCTTTCTTTCACTCATTTTCAACATTGGATAGTTTATTTCTGGTATTCAAAATTATAAATTTGTAGTAACTTCAACTGGAAACTTCGATTTATTGNAGAACATTTTTTTATTTTAACATGAATATTTCAACCTGACCTCAGGTCCTCCTCAGCATGACTGTTTAACATTATGTGAAAGTTGGCACAATAATATCTAAATGGCAACTGGTCAGACTTCTGACTTAATTATAATATCAAAAGGTATCATCAAGCCTATAAACAAGTTGATATAAACCAAAGTGAAATAATTATAGTGAATAAACAGCAGGTGGCTCTATGGCAAGTTATAATAATAATTATCTCATTTTTGTTTATCAAGAAATGTAACTCGAAAACAACATACAAAGTGAATGGCTATGGACTAAAATTTCACATCAATTATAGTCATGTGAACCTTATTTATAAACAAATATTATACTTTCAGTACATTGATCTCTGGTCCAACCCCTTTTTTTTCCCATCGCTTTATTACCCTCAGACCCCCTTCATTTTTCAGTCCCTATTCACAACTCTCCTCCTCCAATCACATTTTACCTAGTTGGTTATTCCCTGGACTTTTATATCGGGGACTATTTTTCTTACATTATTAATATTATTATTATATCAATTTTAATTACCTGAAATTTCTTTTTCACTTTTGTTAGGCACCTTCATAAGTGAAGACGACACCGGATTGAGTGCTGTTGTTGGATCTGCAGCCTTCAACGTCTTCATCATTATCGCTCTTGTATCATTTTTTAGTGGAAGGGTGAGTTTTTAGATTTATTTATTTTATAATCTATCGAATATTTATTTAACTTTTGTTTTATTAATTCATCTGTAATTTTTAAATCCAGGAAATATAATAAAATGAATTACAGTATATAATTTGGGAAATGCCTACAATTTTTAATTAAACGATTGGATCATGTTATTAATTTCCAATAAGATACAGATTATTTAATTATCACTCACTATATTTATTATTGTTTTTATTTATATGAACTGAAATAATTTTAAAAACTCTTTTGATATGTTTGTGATACAGATTATTTAATTATCACTATATTCATTATTGTTTTTATTTATATGAACTGAAATAATTTTAAAAACTCTTTTGATATGTTTGTATTGTTTAGGTTGTACATCTGACTTGGTGGCCACTGATTAGAGATTGCATTTGTTACGTCATTGGTATATTACTACTGGTCTTTGTTATGTATGATTCGATCATCGTATGGTAATTTGAGTTTTTAATTATGCAAGTGATTCAAATTTAGCCATTGCTTTTCAAGTAAGCTCTGATACTCAAACAATAATATTTATCTAGACTTACTAGGTGTCTGTAAAAAAACCTCTTTAACATAATGAGAACTAATCTGTATTGGTAGCTTTTCCACTGTTGCGGGAAAAGCCATAATATTATATGATACAAATAATAAAATCAAGTTTATTTCACTTGCAACATGGATAACGCGATACATTAATCAATAAAAGTCGGTAAAGCCAACAAGGGTTGCTGAGTGGGCATATGCTCAGGGTATGTGTTAATACTACAAAACAAAATACACAGACACATACAGTAAAGCTAATATTAATTAAAGTACTATACTGTATAGGCCTATATATCCCTGTGGTCTAATGGGTATGATACTTGTCTTGCAGGTACGAATCCCACCATTTTGATTCTTTTTTCATTCAACTGAGTAAAGGAACTTTTCGTTGAAGGGCTATGATAGGATTATAACATCTTATTCTTTTTTTTTAATCTCCAAAAAAAAGACAAAGTACAATACAGCACAAAGTAAAATAAATTAAATGAGTTGGCAAGAACACAAAAAGTAACAACTATAACGCAAAGTATGTGAACCTCACTCATCCAGTTTAATATAATACAATTATTATAAATAATATAGGTGAATTATAATAAAATATAGCAAAATTAACAACATACAGAAAGCAATTATCTAATTATTTAAATATCAAATTAATTATCTTGTTCCTATTGAAGTACTGTTATTATTATTTATCTATATCTTTCTGTATATATATATATATATATATATATATATACTTGTATGTATATATATATATATATATGTATATATATGTATGTATATGTATATATATATGTATATATGTGTATATAAATGTATATATATATACATGTGTGTATATATGTGTATATGTATATATATATATATGTATGTATATGTATGTATGTGTATATATGTATATATACATATATGTATATATAAACGTTGTTTCCCTACCAATATTCAGTGGGGATTCCCAAAAATGTAAGGGTTAACCATTGCCTACCTGGTGAAATGGACGGTTCTGAGTCCATATGGCCCCGCAAATAAATACTTGAGATTAGATTCCCCGACATAAAATTGTTGGTGTTCGTAACTCTCTGGTTTTTAATTAATTCATGAAATACCGTAAAGAAGATTTGTTGTTAACCTCACAAGTTATATTTCCATACTACTAAATTTATTTCTTTGCAGGTGGGAAGGTTTGATTTTGGCCTTAATGTACATAGCCTACATCGTTTTAATGTATTTCAATCCAGTATTATCTCATAAGGCAAGTCAGTGGTCAGAAAAACGAAAAAAAAAAGATGATGAATCAAACCTTATCGTTGAGGATACACAAGCACAAATTGGGTACGGTACAAGCGAAAATGGGACTCTTTCCAATAGCAATGATACAAGTCTACCATACAATCCACCAGTGGCAGACCACTCAACAAGTTTTAGTTTACCAGTTGGATCAAATGGAATTACTACCTCAAGGAAAAGAAATGATTCTGGTTTGTGCTTCTCTTCTCAAGTGATCTATTTTTAGAAATTATGTAAATGATTTATGTATGAAATGTAATATAATGTAAATAAGTATGTATAGACTTACGGTATATAATAGTAACTTTGGTGTGGAGAAACACATTCATGGGTGATAATCGACGATGATAATAAATATTTGATCAAAAGTGTATGTCCACATCAGGATTTGAACCCAAGACCTTATGTAAATTTAGAAAATTAAAGCATTTATTTATTAAATTATTTTAAATGGTAAACTTCGAAAATAGAACAGTTTCATATGATTGTGAACATATGATTTGATTTTTATATCCTAAGTTATTTTTTAAATGATTTTATTATTTTATATGATTATATATATATTAACAATTTTATTAATTTGATCATGGTTGATGAACACAGTTATTAAATGTTTTCATCTTCTTAAATGTCTTTTCTAACAGAGATCAGCGAACATCCTGAAAGACTGGATAAAAGAGTGGTGCTGTCACCTCCATCTGGAACATTGTCTTGTCTTTTGTGGGTTCTTGGGTTCCCTGCTATACTTCTGATTTACTTCACAATACCTGATTGTCGGAGAAAAGGCTGTTGGAGGGAGTGTTATTTACTAACGTTTGCGCTGTCCACTGTCTGGCTAGCCTTCACATCCTATGCTCTATATTGGATGATTGTGGTTATAGGTGAGTACATTACTGGAAGAAAACACATATGGCATCTTTAACATTGTCAGCATCAGCTTCAGGGTTTAGAAATATGTTCAGCCGTTTCTTGTGCTGTTGTTTGGTGAAGTATCTGTGTTTTGTCTATTATTACGCCATGTTCCCCATCATGTACAAAACTTTTCAAATGCTTTCTACACAAAGAACGTCCAAAGAAATATCAATCAACCATCATTCTCTTCATTCTGCCATCCATTGAAAAAAGCACTGTTTTATAATTTACTTTTTTTGATATTCATATATCAAAAACTAATTACCTATTCTAAAAGGTGTGACATACTGTATGAATATCTCTCCAAAATTTGACACGGCAATTTTTAATCTAGTTTTTGGTTTTTTATTTAAACATCATCAGGTATAATACATATTATGCAGAGACAAACTATCTAGTACAATTTACCAGACATCCTACTTAATATGCATGTTATTTAAGCTTGGCTTGTTTACATGAATAGCATTGCTTTTTAATTAGTATTACAAATTCAAATTCTTTATTCAATCTATACAATCAGTAACAGCCGAAGCTGAATTGCAGCATTGTATTTACAAGCTTTCCTACCAAATGTAATACAATTTAAAATACTCATAAAAATAAGACCATTACTGGAAAAAAATTACAAGAATCATAATAATAAACATAATAATAATAATAATAATAATAATAATAATAATAAATAATAATAATAATAAATAATAATAATAATAATAATAATAATAATAATAAGTAATAATAATAAATATGACACGTAAAGAGATATATTCTCATTTTATTGCAGGTATACTTAATGAATAATAGGCTACATTGTAAACGGTAGTAAAAAAAACCGTGTTTGAATCCCGGTTGATTATCACCACTACAATTATTATTATTATTATTATTATTATTATTATTATTATTATTATTATTATTATTATTATTAAAATAATCAATGAATCATGATTGTATACTATATTGATGTTTAGATCAATTTCCTACCCAGGTGGAAACAGGATGTGGTACTAACATATGACAAGTAAATTAAAGTCCAATTCCCAGCAAAATTTCACTAAAAAAAGATTTTTTTTTAAAGAAAAAAATGCACATGCATTACTCTAATTATTATAAACCATGGGAAAATACTGGCATAAATTTTAGTTTTACGCGAAAGGAATAAAAAATGAGAAATAGAAACTATTTCTCATAGGAGATTTACCATTTTCTCGACGACTTCTTTGTTACTAGGCAAATTCAGATGTTGTAGATCTCATCCGCTGGAATAATCTTTCTTTTATGTATAATTTATACAGTCAATAAAGTGCACCCTCACTAATGAGATTAGTTTTTTTACTTCGCATCTTGCACACTGCGGTCGATAGAGTAGTCCTGAGATATGTTTGTTTAATTGTCAAAATCTTGGTCAGAATAATTTTTTTTAAATAATATATCAACTGATTGAAAAATATCCTCTGTTTCTTGAAAAATATTCCTATTAGGAAATAGTTTGGTCCATTTCGGGGTGTTTTTAATGAGGTTTTTGGGTGGTTTTAATTGAGGGAGGGGGTGGTTCCCTTTTTGTTTTTCTCATACATCCCAGCTGTTGTATGCATAATTATCGATAGATTTTTAAAGCCAAGTTATATCAATTTCATCAATCAAATGTAATTAATATACAAGAACAAATTAAAACTGTTCGTCTGAAATTGATTATCATTGTCATATCATCTCATCTGCCAAAGAGAAACCATTTCAGTATTTGTGTGTTTACTTACTCTGGATGATTGAGTACAATCAATCAGTCATTGGATTTATGCACATTCACAAATATATCAATTGCAAAATTTATACTAATATATCCCATTGTTTTCAGGTTACACATTAAATATCCCAGATACTGTAATGGGAATTACCTTCCTTGCTGCGGGTACCAGTGTTCCAGATGCCATTGCAAGTGTACTTGTAGCAAGAGATGGTAAGTAGAATACTCTAAGATGTGTTTTTCCCCACCTGCACACCACCTCAATGAAAACCGCCACGTACTTCATTCTTCGGGCCAACACTACTGAAAAATGGCATTTGCCGCCCCAGCAGCGACAGCCAACAAAGCTCTAAACAAGTAAAGGGGCGTAGGCTGGTTTTAGACTGGGAGTGTGAAACCGCCTGAGGGGGTAAATCCATATTCCAATGAAAAATTCATAGTCATATTTAGTATTTTAACTCACTTAGTGAACCTAATTTGCCATCATGGGGAAGTGCATCTGCGCCCCTCTCATCCCTAGCCTATGCCGATGCAAGTATAAAATCAATCAGATTAGAAAAAGGTTAAAATTCCAGTGATAAGTTAGGGAACATGCTCTTGTCCCAACCAATAGCCCCCCCCCCCACCCCCCACCCCCCCAAAAAAATATCCTAAATCCACCACTGCCGCTCTACCTCAACCACTGCTCACCCTCTGATACCTCAGCCTCCTAAACTCCACCTCAACTTCTGTTTAAATTCTACTACACCTCAACAACTGCATATACTGTACTCTTCAATCACTCACGCTAAACAGCATCCTTTACTCTGCATCAAAATATTAATACTTCAATTAATTTCATCATGATGATAATTATTATATATTATTGATCATTTTACAGGATTTGGTGATATGGCAATTTCAAACATTATAGGCAGTAACATCTTCGAGATCTTCGTCTGCCTTGGTTTTCTGTGGTTCCTAAAAGCTGTCATTGACGAGCCAACAGTAATTGCCAGTGATGGATTAACTTTTACAGCATTAGCATTATTATTTACCGTAGCGTTTATCATACTCCTCATTCATTTTAACGGTTGGAAGTTAGATGGCTTGATGGGAATTATTTGCACCCTGACTTATTCGATATTTATCGTCATTGCTATTTTAAGGGAATTGGGAATTATCGGCGACGTGGAATTACCGGAATATTGTCCTGGACCGGAATAATCTTTAAAGTGATAATTCTTATAATATTGGTATTTAGCGAGTTATATACATATACAGATAATATCCATTGTCAATACAGTATATATAAACAATGATGTTGACAGATTGATATTTAAGCAACCAAATATATATAGTTGTTTTTCACCGAAGCAGGATAAACACATCATCAACAAAAAAAGCTTATCCGAGGCTTAGATGCTGTATCTTGACGAAGGTGGGCGTTGCGTTACATTTTATTTTCAAGAACAATCTGCTCAGTCTACCACTGACAATCAACAGTTAGTCGTGTAACGTCAGCGTTCACACGGAGCAGAGATATGTTTGTCGGCTGCAGTGTGGCAGGCCTGATAGTATACTATCCTATTTGGGTTTCCTTTCCACTCTTTGTTAATTAATTAGCATTTGACTTTCTGTTACTTTCTGTTACCTCTGATCAACATTTTGATGCGTAAGCTTTGTTTCCATAAAATTGCTATACTCTATTGCCAACAGCTTTTGACGACGCCGGTTATATTCGGTTGAATTGAGGAGCAATGGCATCAAGGACAGCTATGCAATGTAACAATCGCATTTAAATCATGTAACGATAGTGTAGCAATTATATGGAAGCCAGGTTGACCACACATATCATTTAACTATGCAAAGATTGCATGGAAATATTTGTTTACAAAATTCTTTTATTGCCACTGTACTATCTCTGACACCAAACAATATCACTTATATACTTGTTGGATACGACTGTGACTACCGTGGAGATTGCGTAAAGGCCTGTTTATACTTCAACGATAACGATAACGTTAAAAAAACTAAAAAGCAATTGTTCATATAGAAAATAAAAGAAATAAGAGAAGTTTTTACACTAGAACAATTCAATACCGATTTATTAGTTATGTGATAACAACATATTTTGACAAATCAAATCAGATGACGTCATAACCATGAAAAAACATTAAAATTGTAGTATTAGCAACGATTTTATCGTTTTTCCATGGTTATAACGTCATCTGATTTGAGTTGTTAAAATAATTTGTTATCGTACACACGATAAATCGTTATCGAATCGTCCTAGTGTAAAAAATTCTTATTTCTTTTATTTTCTATATGAACAATCACTTTTTAGTTTAGTTTTTTTATCGTTATCGTTATCGTTCAAGTATAAACAAGCCTTTACAGTGGCACTTACAGTAGTGACAAGGAATGAACAAAAAGTATAGAATGGCAAGCTGTCCAACTATCCTTATTTTGCATGCACAAAATGAAACGAAAAATGCAGGACTACCACAAGATAGCGGACACCCTATTAAAATCTGAATAGTGTTTAAGGTCTAGCACGCATTTGATATGAACAACTTTTAAGTTATATCATTTCTATCGAAGGACAACCTCTAGTTTGTGGTTGTACCCTTCAGGATAGGATTGTGATTCAGGGAAACACTGACAGTTTGACCTCTTGCCATTACTCTTTGGACTGACTAGTGCCCCAGTCATTATAATATCTGTTGACTGCACTTGGAGTTTATACCATTACATAATTACCATAAGTATTGCTATAGTACTGGATAAACTAGATAGAAATATACAATGATTGAATTTATGGTGAATCCAAGACAGAGATTAATAGACAGCTGAATCTGTAGGCCTGTCGTATTGTCATTTAAATCAGTGGATACAGCGTGAGAAGGTAAACTGCTGGTATGACTGGACCAGCATACTAAAAAATGAACTGTCTGCATTAACATTTGGAGAAACCTTCAACACTTCAATTATTATTGAATTACTTTTTAATAAGAAAATCCATAAATTCTCTGCTAAAAATCCATAAACTCTCTGCCCAATTATGGAAAGGTATTTTTTGTTCTAATTTCCAAATGCAAGCTAACCCAGCAAACAAAATGTTAATATAACTTGCAAAATTGTGGTAAATGTTGTAGGTTATATCAGAAAATTGTATTAACACAACATTGCAGTACAGGAAAGTAAATATTACAAGTTGATACCTATAAAAGATACACATTAAGAATATTGAATTGTATTCTGGGCACAACACATTGTAACTGTCGCAGTGGCATATCCAGCCAGATTTTTCAGAAGTGGTGCTGAACAGAAGTGTGACACCCGCTGAATTTTTTTGCGTAAGGCCCAAAACTAGGGACAAAGCATATCATTGGCTATCAATACACAATAATCGGTTGTTAACCATTTAATTCCATAAATTTAACTATTATTTTTTTTTGTTTACATTTAAACAGAAGGGGGGGGGGGGTGGTGGTGCTTATTCAATGTCAGCACCCCTCTACCTAATTATACCACTGTGTCTAGATGTAAATTAGATTATGTGTGCTGCATTACGACCAATCAAATGTTAGATTGCTAAGGATGTTTTAGTAATGAAGCGTAAAGATATATGTTTTTGCATGCTGACTATGTTGGACAAAAATAACATCATTATTTAACTGTTGATAATATAGCCAATGTAAATATGTTATTATTAAAATACATATGGTCTGTTATGAAATTATTAGAAATTTGCATACAATATTTTGTTCAGTACCATATGGTCAGAGACATCTGAGTGTTGGATTTTAAACATTCTGTACTGTAGTGTAAGTTATAACTATCAAATAAAGTGTCATACTGCTGAAGCTTTAAATTATAGAAATACTACTATTATTATTATTATTATTATTATTATTGTATATTATTATTATTACTGTTTTATTATTGACTTCAGTAAAATAACAGTTTTAATGATTGTGTATTTTAATGCATAAACAAATACCAAAAATAGGCGTGTCAGGTTTGTGGAATAATTTGTTTAATTTGTTCCTTTGTATACCAAAGCTGGATTATATTTTATACTGTAGCTAATTACAGAAATGTTTTATTTTATAATATATATATATATATATATATATATATATATATATATATATATATACACTCTGTCTCTTATACACATCTAGATGTGTATAAGAGACAGACCATGAACATATCAAAGCATTAAAATGGTAGTTTTCCAGTGTGGCCATCTTTGCTATAATATACACAAGACAAACCTTTGTATGATGGTTTATTTTATTTTTAACTTGCATAATTTTTATTTCATTAAAAATAACTGGCTTATTTAAAGATATACCATCTGTGTAATCATAAATGTCAAAATGTTTAATTCATAAAATTTGAACATTTGATGCATATTCTTTGAATAGCTGCTTTAATTGGCTGCATCTACATCAGATATTCAGCACAGTGCAATCCTGGATGAAAAGCCAAAGAGACAAAGTGCTTGCAAAACAGATGAAAATGAAGTTTGAAAAGATTTTCATAGTGAAAGGCCTGTAAATCTGAAAAGGCTTCCATTGGAAGTTGTTTTAAATTAGCTTTTTAATTTATTTTCTGAGGTTTTTCCAGATTTTATTACAGGCATCGGCCTGAATTAAAATTTTTAAATATATATTTTATATTTTTAAATATAAATGGACCAGTTGCGAACAAAATTCTGTATAAAATTGGTATACATTTTTTTTCTAACTATATTTGAAATATACGTGTATTTATAATTTCTTTAGGTGTCTTATACTATGCAATAATAATCAAAGCAAGAATATAGTATTATTATATATGTATATTGTATATAAAAAATGCATCAAAAAGTGAGTTATTGCAATGTTGTTTGGAAAACATGGAATGAAGACAGTTCACCAATACTAGTACCAAGGAGATTTTACAGCTCACAATAACAAGCCATCATTAATTATCAATATGCTATGAGTCGAAATTATGAAATGAAGTAGGCCTAGTTCTTAAATTATTTCCTTTGATAGCTTCACTCTAATTTTCTAAATCATAAGTATGCTTTTTGTGGGTTAAACTTCCTTGTGTATTGTAGACAGTGTAAAAGTTCCTTGTTTTCTGTTTCAATGCTTTCTGCGAACAAAATGACAATAAAAGTGCATTGATCTTTAAAAAAATAGAGTGAAGTATGGCCTATATGTTACTCATATAATTACCTTTCCCCTAATAATGGAGGTCCATAAGGGGAAGTGGTAGTGCCAGATATTAGTAGAATCCTTTTAACCAAATGTTTTCATGTTTGGTTAGGGATACTGCTCTCAGATGAAGTGCTTTATCACCCACTGGTATCTGCCACCATGCATTTAGTATGGAAAAATGGTCTGCATTTTTATCAAACAATTCAACCACAGTTGGGCAGGAGGGAATTGATGGGAAGGTAAAGAGTGCAGCACAGCTGCAAGGGGAGCAGCTCGCCCGGGCCCCCTAAATTTTTCAAAATAAAAAAACAATTGAGAAAAAAAGGAATTTCTACTAAAATTTTGAATCTCAGAGTGCCATAATCATAAATATTCTTGGGGCTGAGGTATAGACCCTCCATCTGTGAAAGTCCGTCTTTGGGCTCCCTCTTTCAAATTCCTGGATCCGCCAAGGTGGTGGTAAAAGGGATAGGGGTAAGATTCCGCGTAGGGTGTACGCCACTCGATACCAGTTGGTTCTGCCTTGGCGACAGATAAATTTACATCAAGATGTTATTAACAACTGCCAGCAAATCAAACAAGTTAGTATTGGAATTACGGATGTTAGGGTTTAAAATATTCTGCAGGCAGTTTTTATCACTTAAACTGTCTTTGTCTTCAGAGCTTCAAAAAACAAACCTAGGAAATAAGCTGGTGGTGCAGGGAGAAGCTTTTGCTGTATATTAAGTATCAAGAATGTGCAATAGCTTCTGTATTTCTGTATATGACGATATACTAATGAGGCTTTTAGAGTGAATGCAAAATTTTAAACAAAGGGGAAACAAGGCCGTCATTTCAGACTGTAATACATGTTCACCCCGTTTCCCTGGAACCATCACTGGGTTTGTGCTCAGGTAGATGATGCAGAGGCATTTCAAATTTTAAGCAACAAAAAAGCTATAAGTTGATGAACCATCTAATATTATAATAATATGCGCCAAAACATTATCAAAGGCGCAGTGAACAATTAACTCAATTAAAGCAACATTTAATGAAAATATTCCCTTAGAAATGTAAGAATGCAAGAGAAAATGTAGAATCTATGTTTTATACCCAGTTTCATTGTGTAGAAATAATAAACGAAACAGCCTTTTCAAGACATTGTTAAATGACTTTTGGCAATTATTGCCTTTGGTCAATTTATCTGTATTTAGAAAACCCTGCGCAAAAAGCGAGGCCTCCATTTCCATGTTGTCGCATACAGTGCATAGTGTAGACAGTATATTCCATGCCATATCGGACCAGGTACCTATTTATACTCCCTGGGTAGATATACATGAAGAAAGTGCCTGGACCAAGAACACAAGTATATTGGGTTCAAACCCAAAATCTAAGGTGCAGAGAACAACCTCTTCACCAATCATTCATTCCTAGACACTTAGTCTGGGACACATAATGCACTAACAAAGCAATCAATCTTGCATATATATAAAACTGCTGTGCCAACTGCTTCCACCTATGAAAGTTGCACAAATACAATAAACAAACTCCTTGACATTTAAAATTTGAATATTTTTAATGCTATTCTCACAGAATAATACTAAAAGAGTGGCAAGACCAACAGATTGGTTATCAAACACAAAGAAATGTAGAAATTGCAACAACTTTTAAATAGATATTTAAGATATATTCAAGTTGTCATTTATATTCAACTTTGTTGATAAATACTACAGAATTCCCAAAGAACATACAAACAAGTAAATTTGAATCTATTACTCATCCATATTTAGCAACTTAAAAAACATAATAAAAGCTAGAGCAGTCAATCCATGAGAGCATACCTCCATCTTGTGCCTGAATACTGAACAATACACAGACTGTGTACGATTGGTAATTCCATTAATTTCTTTTAATGCACATAAGAAAATTAACAATTTCTGTGACCATAATCTTTATTAAACTTCCTTTGGAAGAGGTAATAAACAGAGATGCTTCATAAACTGTATCATTATAAGATTAGGGACTAGAATTTGGTCTTTAAAAAAGTGTGTAGTGTTCATTTTAATATAAATTAAAGAGGCAATACAAATCAGTGGGATATGAGCACAGGTAGAGTACTGCCCTCACTCACATGGGAGAGAGCACTCAAATTATTTTCCTATTTCCTTAAGTCCTTAAGTGAGAGGGCAACAAAAGCTGTAAAGTATTAGTGTTTTTTAACCATTTCCATTTACGATAAACCACCACACATCTTTTTCTTACTGTTTTCGGGGGGGGGGGGGGTCGTTCGGCTGGCCCTCAAAGTGCAGAAGAACGGCACACTGACTCTTCACTAACGGCACTTGGTCTCATACCCACTTTCATTGGCCTTATAAATCCATTGATTGATTGATTGACTGTACTTTGGTACGGGTAAAAATGTGTAAATTCAATGTTTTTGCACCATAATTACAATCTTTATCTTTGATTGGTGTCAATCAAAAAGTCAATTGACACCAGGTAGTGTTCCACCCCATGCCTTTGTATAATATATTTTAGCGATTTCTACTTTCAGAAATATATGGTAATAAAAAAGTACCATTGCATGCCTGTTGCCACTGGGCATACAGTATGCAACCCTAGGCCTGTTATCAATGGGCATCAAATAATTTGCACTGTATCGAAGTGCTTATAAAATTAATATTACCGTTAATCATTGGATCTATAATGACAAAAACATTGACAATGTGCAACCTCCACTGCTCAGCAGAAAACATTCTATTTTATGCTTCTGGTGCAAATCAATCTGCACCAGACCAGAAAATGCTATGCTACACAACATACAACTAGGTGGCAATATATACTCCTTTGTCAGGGGTTTTCAACTGGCAGGCCATGAGTGCATGCTATCCAGCCCATCAGAACAAGCCTAAAATAAATTTCTTTAAAGCCACTAGGCCTGATATTGCATCATTTCACATTACATTATCATCTTTTCTTGTGGAAGTGCCTATAATGGACCTTAAAATTGATTCAATATACAAACTTTGGCCTCTGTTATAATACATATGAGAACCCTTGTCCTGTATGGAGCGCTTCGACCCTGGCCTCTAAGGTTGACAGGCCAAACTAGAAGCAGTTTGGTGCAGCAGTAGCAAATAGGTACTGCATTGCAACCGTGTGGTTGGGGTTTTAATCCCTTGCTGCGTATTTTGCTTGTGCCCAAAAGCATTTAATCTGCATTTGCTTCTCTCAACCCAGGAGTCATCATGGGTACGTGGCTGGTTTGTCTGATCCTATGTGTCGATATGGCAACACTTAAGCATGCAGACCCCAGTGACCATGAATAAAAAAGTTTCATAACCAAAACAGAAAAGTAAGATATAAAATTCTCACTAACATAACAGTGATTCACCTACACTGCACCCATCATTCCTACACTATGATGACTCCCAGTACAGTAGTACATCTAGTGTTTCACCACTACATATTTACATTTTATTGTAAATTTACATAAAACAAAAGCCTGTATTACAACTATTACTAGGGATTAAAAAATAAGAAAGCCACAAACAAAAAACATACTTTATCTCCAAGGGTGGCGCTCAACTGTAGCTGCAGCGAGTCCCCTGAATAAAAGTTATTCAACTAGTACCAATTTGGTATACTTTACTATACAGTACTTTATTTATATATTCAATTATATTGTCATTGTTGCTGATCTTTTTGTGGGTAAATCTGTCCTTGATAACACTCTATATCCACTGAATAGAAAAACACCAAAATGAAACATTAATACTTTCTCTGTCTACAATATGTTCTTTTATATCATCACCTCAAAACTCATCAGCTTTACAAGCCTATAACCAGGAGGGGGTTCTATGGTTCGGCCAAACCCCTTTTTAAAGCGAACACCACCAGTAAGCCAAACAAACCACCCCTTTTCCATGAATCAAAAAACATCAAAATGATGAAAAATTCACCATTTACATCCTGGTTACAGGCCTCATTAGCACGAAAGTACACAATTATTCTCTCTCACAGATACAATAAATTCAACTATTAACAATTTGGCATTTAAAAATAAGGCAGAAGTTGCATAATTATGCAATCTTTTGTAGTGTAATTTTTGATAAATATGAAGAAATGTAAAATAATATTCATTTAATTTTAAATTAAACTGAATAGCATGTTTTATTTTATTTAGTCCTGCAAACGACTGCAATACATATTTTAGTTTATTTCTCTTACATAGTTTTATGTTAAGAAATAATCAATGAATAAGGAAAAAAACAAACTGTCAGTGTCATATTAGACAATAACATTTATCTTACAATTAAATTTGTAGAGAAATCAACAAAGCTTACAAAATTCTTTTCAGCAAGTTAAGTACTCTAGTAAAGGTCAGAAGTCAACTACAGCAGCTCAATATTTTGCTTAGTAGCTTTGGTTTGCTTATCCAATGAAAACTTTAATTACAAATTCATTCAATTTTCATACATACTACAGAATGCTGATATTCTACAGTACAAATTCAATTTTCATATAAATATAAATATATGGTTATCTTTGCTTTTTCTTTTTTATGTGTATCCCAAGATAAATAAGTCCAAAACTACAACAGCAAGGCTCCTTTTCAATCAAAGTTTCTTTGTAACAATGTGTTGCCTTTTGACTGACAACATTTACCAGGTAATGCATCTTACCGTGACTTATAAGGCAAACTTTGTTTGTAAAGGCCCGCTAACATTACAGCACTGCTGAAGATCATATCTCTACGCGACATTCCTGTGAAGGAGTAATGCCAATCCGTTCGGTTTATCCCCGGATTACTTCGTTCGATGACCTCGCCTACAGTTACCGCTAATCCAGACCATCTGAGATTGTAGTCCGGTGGTGTATTTGTCTGAGCTTGTTGAACGTACTGACATGCAATGGGAGTAGCTTGCGTGAATACTTCTAAATTTATGTTGTATGTAGGATCTTGTAATACTATGCAACCGATATCAAACCACCTAAAGAATGAATAAAAAAAAAAGTGCATACATAATCCATGTCCTAAAGATGTATAATAAGGATGAACATTTTATCAACTTAAAATGAGACAAAGATTTAACTATTTAATTTTTATATATTTATTAGCTCTTTACAATCAAAATTGACCTTTGACATACACACAAGTAGTTTGGAACTACAGTATAAGATGGCTATTTAATTGAAGAGAAAACTGTAACATGCATGATTTTAACCCAGTCGACAGAGACTGAAAGCGAGCACTGGGAGTCTGAAACTAAAATATGACATTGGACAAAATTTTACAAGCATTGCATGCTAAAGAAAGCAAATGGCCTGGGTTACATAATGTCTGTCTAAAGGCAAATTTGTGTAGAATTGGCATATGTCGTACGTACGAAAAACAGACAAGACAGCAGTGGCACATCCAGGAGTTTTGAAATGGGAGGGAGTGTTCTGATGGGAGGAGAAGGTAGAGGCACTAAGGTGAGGTGGGGGGGGGCCCTCGACTAAGTGAGGGGTGCTAGGTCGCAAAATAGAGTGACATGAGGTTATTATAAACTACTTGAGTGTGATTTTTTTTTTCTTCAGATTTTTTTTAATGGGGAGGACACCTAGGGGAGCACAAGCTTTTTTTGGAGCGTGCACCCTCTGCGCACCCCCTAGATTTGGGGGGTCTGTAAAATCCACAGATATTTAGAAGTTGTGACTATGATATTCAATTATGAATGTAATTACACATATGCATATGTGCCTCACAGTGATGTCAAACCATCACAGATTACTTGTTGTTCCAGTACCAAAACTCTACTTTTTCTTGTGTGAATCGGGTGTATACCACCTATCTATGACATCTACAAACTTACTTGTCCGGTAACAGTTCCACTATGAAACTCTCAACAGCAACTACACACTGTTTATCATCCACTAATCCATTTCTCCTCAGATTTTCAATTCGTTCCTCGGCTCCTTTTAATCCTGCCGCATAGCCTTCTGGCTGTGGTGCAATATTTGAGCTGCTCGCTTGACCAAACACGGTTGCTCGGCCAAAAACCTTCTGAAAGGCGTCTCTCACTGCTGCCACCTTCACTTCCTTGTCCGACGCTACAATTACCTCTACATCACCACCAGAATCTAACAAAATTCAATTATATAATATAAAATTTAGTTACAAAAGATAAATTTAATGATCTATCGAAAATTTGTTCATGGATTTTATTTAAAAAAAATATACATGCAACTGATATGAGCTACCAGGAATGTAAATAGAACACAGATCGTCCAAAATCAAACTCTGCGTATTCTGAAAGAGTTCCTACATGTAGAGATACTTTGGATATTGCACATCATTCTAAGCTTCTTAATTATTTTATTTTGTGTTTTAATTAATAAAGAGAAAACAGCTCCAAAATGAAGCTCTGCATATTTCCGTATTCTGCAAGAGTTCCTACATGTACAAATACTTAGGAAATTGTACATCATTCTATTAGGCTTCATAATGTCTAAGGATATATTATCAGCTTGGATGCCTTCATTCTGTTCATTTTTTTTTGCCTCACAGAGCATAATGCTCACCTTGTCTACCTAACCTGAGCAAAGCGCCTGCTAGCAGTTGATGTAAAAACTGGATAAGCCAATCATAAATTCTCATTTAACTAGCTTCTCCAAGCTAGAGACCTGGCTAGCTTATGAAAAACAACATAAGTAAGCATCCTTCTTATTGTATGTGGACATACACACCTTCCAGCAAATGCCACGTTAAAAAGCTTGCTGGTGTAACTGCATTCAGATGTGCAAGGTTTTAAAAATTTGCATTTGCAAAGAAATGGAATATAGACTTAAGCACCCTTATGCCAGTCAATGTAACTAATAAGATGTAAAGAATATGTGTTGTCTACTTACGTATTATTGGTGCCATCCCTGGATCGAGGGTAGTGATCATGGTATCAACTGAGCTCTGTAAAGATTACCATGTATTTTGTTTTGTCATTCAAATGTTCATAATAAATATAAATGACAAGAGTGGTTGTAATAATAGACAATTATTATTATATTTTCATTATCAGACAGCTGTTTTAAGACAGGCAAAACTAGCAAATGTACGATGAAATAATGAAAACTCTTTATATTACCTTTGTTTTTTCCATGACTTTCTTGACTATACTGGATCCCCAGCCAAAGAATAACCCACTGCCTTCACCAGTTTGATGCTGGTGTTGGTTTTGTTGCATGTCTGGTGTTGCATCAAATGGTACATTGATTGAAGCGCTTTCACTGTGGTGTGTTTGCTGGAGTGAAGGACTCTACAACAGCAAAAAAAAATCATTTTATTTCAATAATGCATATAATATTGAGTTTTTTTAATGGAATAAATTGTAGTAGAAGAAGAGTGACATTCCGTTTGGGCTTTAAACCAAACAGTTGTGAGTTTGAGTCAGATGCTGTGTCATGATGCTTGAAGTGTCCTTGGGCAAAAACACTTTATCTATGTTTGTCCCTCTTTAATGAATGCATATTAACGATTAACTATTAGGATATGAATGATTTAGATATGATATTAGTCAATTAGTAGGAATGCTCGCTAGGAAGTGGAGGTACTGTAATTACACAAGGTGCATGGCTGTCTATCCATTTACCGGGGTTAATAATCATCTATTAATAATTTAAAGGAAATTGATCTTTCGGTTGTACAGAATAGGGCAGTACATTCAATTAGATGTATTTATCATTCCTCTATTCTTATCATTCCTTTATTCAAGCATTAGGCTCTGTCAACCTGATTGTTTTATGTCATAATACAAGTGATTTGCCTATATTGTGACATCACCTAAGCAAGTCCATTATATCGGCAAATCACCTATATCACATAAAACAGGGGTGGCATAAAAAATCAGTGGTAGGGCCAAAGTGAATTTTTGATTTAACACCGAAACTTTGAAGTTCCCAGTGAGCTTCCATGCTTTTACACCACTGTATTTTCAGTTTTAATGTTACTTTTTACATATGATTTAAGTTTGGCCATACAATCATGGTGTTTTCTAGCCAATGTTGCTTGGCAGGCCGCACACATAGAGTTTTAAGTTCATTTTCGCGGGCCGCAAAAAAAATCGCTGTCAGGCCGCCACGGGCCGCACTTTGCACAGCTTTGACATAAAACATACCTTTCATTGCTTGGTAATCAATTCATAGATTGTAAATTAGTGAAAACAATGTTTGTCAATAACGTACAGGGCTCTTAAAGGCCAACTCAGACAACGTCGGCCGACACAGCCCGACCCGATTTATCGTCGGGGACAGTCTTAAGTTGTTGTGAGAAATATTAAACATGTTTAATATTCTACGACGCGTATGCCCCCAACGCAAACCATCGCGTCTGCGTTTAACTTACACAGACACGACAACAAATTACGTCGGGCTGCGTCGTACGACGCTTTTTGAGTTGGCCTTAAGTCTCCCACAAATTCCAGGTGTCTCCCAGAAATCAGCACTCCCGCAAACAAGAAGGATCTCCCACAAACAAGAAGAATCTCCCGGAATATAACCCATCTCATGCAAATTAATTAAATCTGCATGTTTCTACTACTGTATAACCCCAATTATCATTTGTCTGACAGAAGTCAGTGCTGATTGGCATCACTAAGAGAAGCAAAATAAAATTAGAAGTGGAAATGGACCTCATTTAAACAGATGTGGAAATGACATCTTCCAACTCGGGACCCCTTGTGTGTACCACACTGTAACTTATCTAATACTAGTAAATGACAAATTCAACTCTTTACAGATTTAAATTTAACGAAGACATTTATGAAGATAAAATCATGCATTTTACCTGCATTGTGCTTTTACTGTGAGGATCTGCTTGACTTTGATATCCATACGTATGCTGTGACATACCCACTGGTGGAGGTGACTGTGCAAAGTTTGCTGCTGGTTGTGGTGGGGGCATAACTGGGGTTGAAACGTCCGTCATTCCTGCAGCAGCGCCAGCCATCATCGATGGTGTGAATATTTGGGGGCTACCTTGCGATGGTGGTGGTGTAAAAAACTGTGGGAGATTTATGCTATTGTCTGGAATAGTGCTTGAAATAGTTGATGGTAATATCACCGGATCTATAAGAAAAAAAATATAAATGAAACTTTTCTTTACATATTTTTATACTAATTCAAAATAAAATAACTCCTGCGAATTATAAATACGGGAACTCGCTGCATCTTGCAATGACGCCAACTCTACTCCCTTTCAGTGACAGACAACATGACGCTGTCTGCTCATTATTGGCGGCAGTCTGAAGATATCCTTAAAAAACGATCTGTTGTGTTCGTTATGGTGTTGCATTTTCCATAGACACAAGTAGGCTGACGACCGTCGTGTAGAGTAAGTGCCACGGCTTAAGGCTATGTTCAAATTAGCCCTCAATCCTGGATTGAGTCTCGTGCCTGACATGAACATGATTGGGTGTCCACACTATGTAGGTTAACCTGGGTTGACCTAACATTGTGTCGCTATCTGTGATTGGTCATATTTTGACCAGACTACAATGAGATGGTAAAATTGTCAACTAAAGGTCAGCTTAGGGTCAACTTTTTACCTTGCCTGGGTTGAGTTTAATTATAATGCATTTAGCGTACTAAATAATGAATTAAGTGCACCAAATATTGCATTGTGAATACAATAAATAAATTAATAATCAGCTCAGAAAATAGCATAGTTTGTATCACATCTTAATAAGTGGTTGACACTACAGATGTACAACATTTTATAGTTGAATGTATAGCCATAATGTACAGGAACAGCACTTCAAAATTAATGACACACAAGTCTTTAGCACTTTTATTCCTTGCTTAAAATAAAATTGACAATTGACATTTTGATGACTGCATTCTGTGGATTATATAAGCTTGTTAGCTTATTAAATGAATGTCAGTACCAGTAACTGAAATTAAATTACCAAATATGAACCAATGCTATGCACCAATAAGCTAACTACAGTATTACCACTTGCTAGTTATTATAATCATTCACCATTGCAATATTTCTCTTTTATTAAATCAAGATATAAAAAATCTGAATCATGTTTACAATAAGATTTTTCACTGTACTTACAAAAACTTGCTTTTTATGCTAAATTAGAATGTTTTAACAACATATACGGTTCTGCATTTCCAGGCTAACCTTCTTGAGCTGCACAGAAAATGCTTCTTAATATAGATTTTTATTGCAATTATTGACTGCTATTATGTTTATTTAATGAATGACATTACACTTCACCAATTCATGAATATATGAATATTAATGAATAGTTATGCTTCAGTGTACACAATATACACAAGTTAACCTCCGGTGCACCCTGCAACCTGCTATAAAGCGGTCATAGCTCGGACAACACTTACCAGGGGCTGGTGTTCCAGCTAACTGTGACGTTCCTACTCCTTCTTTGTCACCCAACTCTTCCATCATATTAATACCTAGTAAATACAGAGAGGTAATGTGTGGTATTATTAGCATTGCCTCTTATAAATTTTCATAGAATAGAAAATAATAAATAAATAATAATAATAATAAAAATAATGGTATCAGTAAGTTACATCAATCCACATTTAATTGTTTGACACACTGACAGTTGTATCCCAGATTTTGATTACAATCTCATCCACTTGATTACAAATGTGCAGTGGCCATTTGTGTATATTAAGTTAACCAATCAGAGATGATATGCTATTATTATATTTTTTGTACAGTATGTATCTACTGTATTGCACAAAATTTTGTCTTTGCAAGGGTAGTCCTATCACAGATGACCATTTGGGACCCTCAATTCGTCGCTCATCACATCACGAACTAACACAATCAAAGTAGATTGTGTTAGTTCGTGAAATCACAGTAGCGCCTCAAAATGATAACGCTACGCTACAGACCACAGAAACATTTTTAAAAAGTGACGGTAATATGAAGTATTTTGGCTATGTAATATAACAGATATAGTGTAAAAGTTAAATAAAAGTTCTTGATATTTTAGGTAATGTGTTCAGTTAATTATTTGCATATATTTCTAGCTATGTAATATAACAGATATTGCCTTTTCTATCGGTGTAATAATAACATTTGATATCCCCGTGGGAATTATATTTTTTTCTCAGGACTATATTTTCCCGAAGGGAAAATATAATCCCTCGAAAAAAATATAATTCCCTTGGGGATATCGACCCACCCATAGTGCCACACCACCATTCATAATTCTCAAGTTCCGTCGCGTCCCCTCCCCCTCTCACTGACACGTGACTAGGGGCCTAGGCTAATATCCCCAACCAAGCCCTGACCCCTTTTTGTGTATTGTTATTGTTACAATTTAGGAAGGCCTAGGCCAATTCTTTTAGAATTCAATAACGAAATCTTCTAAAATTTTGTGCTAGCCTAGGCCAGGCATCTTCTGTGCATGGAGGTAGTAGTATGGAATTAGATCAGGCAGGTCAAGGTAAACAAATCAGTGATTCACATACACACACATCCTAAGTTTGGCCTAGGACTAGGCTACGTAGCAGGTGCATACATTAATCCACGGAGTTAATTAAACTGAGCTAAAGTGTAGCTAGTACTAGCGTATTCAAGATATCTAAGATAAGTTTCATATGAGTTAAAAGGTACTATAGGCCCTAGCAGAAAATGTATTTACCTTATGCCTTTATTACAGAAAACTTGTATTGGCCGCCTGCTGAACGTAGTGCAATCAATCAGTACGTGGTTTGTGATGTCATTGCTGCCACGTTGTGCGAACTTTGACACGGACTAACTTTTTTAAACAACAGACACACCGTTTTCTTTGGGTTTAATTAAATAATAATTAATGTTTATTGGTTGACAACCGATTATATTTGCATTAACTCCCAAATTCAAAAGATACGAGATTTAGTTTATATTATTCTGTAGGTTTTATGCAGTGTCCGACCCTTCGGAAGAGCAGTGTTTTCACCTGTCTCTTATACACATCTAGATGTGTATAAGAGACAGCCCCCTAGGTACGCCACTGATTAAACCACTCAGAAAACAATCTAGGACTACCAATATTTTGCGAATTTAGTCTGCTTTACAGATGTTCTATTACCAAAAGATAGCCTACAGTATATCATATGATACTAACTTTTGATTGGAAAAACAACATGGAGCAACGCTATTTTTTTTAATAGGCCCCTACATTTAACATTCGGGGCGAAGCTCTGGCGCATATAGCCTTTTAATTGATTTTTAGCAATGCAATTATTTATTTCCACACGGAAATTTTCAAAATATCCAGTGGCGGATCCAGTAATTTGAAATAGAGCTGGGTCCAGAGAGGGACTTTAAAAGATGGAGAGTGTAGTTGGACTACCACCTCAGCCCCACCATGGTTGGTCGGAAATGGCACTCTCAGACTGAGACTGAATCTGAATCTAAATATAATTTTAATTTTTCTCCACTTTTAAATTTCGAAAAAAAAAATAGTGATGGTGGGCCGGCTGGGCCCCTTCGAATCTGCCACTGAAATACGGTACTCATCATAAAAAGTTTTAAAAATTATCCTTTTTAGTCATAATTATGCCCGCTTATATATTTTGTGCAAACTAACATTCATAAAAATAATGATTTATTATCTACTGATTAGCTTGTAACGTGTTCAAAATTCGAACTATGAAAAACAAATACCGGTATAAGATACTTAAAACAGTCATTAATTTAGTCTTTTTGCATGTACAGTACTTTTAAAATCAATCAAGAGGTGTTTGCTTTTTTACTCTTTTTGAATTTCACTTTTGTGCAAGTAATATTGCGATAGATTATTGTGAGTGGAAATAATACCATCTAATTTACGATCAAACAGGACTGGGAGATAGAGAGCACACAAAACATTAGTTAGCATTTTGATTTCACAAACATAAAGGGGATTTACTTAATTTATCATTATCAATGGCGGCTCCAGGAAAGCAAATTAGAGGGGGGACAGGGAGGGACTTCACGTTGGGAAAGTAGATCACCCAACCATGGTGGGGCTGAGGAAAGAAAATTTATGATTATGACACCACTAGATTGCCGGAAATGGCACTCTCAGACGTAAATTCTAATTCTAATTTTCCTTTGTATTTTTTCCATTAACAAAAAAAAATTATTTTGAAAAAATTAGGGTCGGCTCGGCCCTACTTGAATCTGCCACTGATTATTATGGCGTCATTGCGAGACTGCGTCAACGTAACACTGGAGTTTACATGTAAATTTTGGGTAGGCTTATCACTTAATCGAAACAGGTAGACATATCCGTGATAAAGGTAATATTAAACACTAGTATTACGTACGGTCATAATAATATACAAAAGGAATAAATCGTTCATAGTAGAAATTGTGCACTTTTGAGTTTGTAAATATTGGCCTAATAAGGATACATGCTTCCAATTTAACAACGTTCAGTACATTGTTTTCACAATAAATTTAGCTTCTGATAGTCGTTGCACCCATAAAATCGATCTAGTGGGTTTCTGAGATGGTTACGAAATGTTTAAACAATTGCGTTTTTACTCGGTTTTGGTCCAGAAAACACGTACCGCGCTTAGAAAAGTGAACAGACAAAATTCATGAGTCATGCGTCATTGTTATTCTTTCCATTCGCTTTTAAAAGTGGGGTTTTAATTATAGAAGATTGGTGAAAAGTGGGGGGGGGGGACAATCGATATGATGTACCCCCTACTTTGAAAAGTCGGGGGACACGTTCCCCCTGTCCCCGCCGATCGACGCCCATGCATGTTTTATTAGCCTGTTTACAGAGTAGGCTAGTGACTCTGCCTCAGACCCAGCGCATATATCTAACCAGGTGTCAGAATTCAATATCAGGGAACTTCTTTAGGGCCTATCTTATAATGCATATTGTTCGTTTTAACTTTATTTTCTAGTTTATGCTTTAAAATAAATACATATATTTATGACAAATCAGGTTATATGAGCATCAGACATAACCCTGAAGATTGTCGATATATGACAGTAATTTGAATAGGGCAGAGTAGTATATTACACGTACCAATACACCGTGAAGGCATTGAGCAGGCCTACTTTATACAATCTGTTTCAAACATGAGTTTCGAACATTGGGAGGGACAAACAGACAGAGACCGAGTGACTTCTAGAGACGCTTTGCCGGCGTCTAAAAATCATAATACTCAACCACCCGACCATAAAATAATAAGGGCAGTGGCGTAATTACGGGTAGTGCAGAGAGTGCAAAGAACTGGGGCCCAGGGCTATTAGGGGCCCATTCATAAATAGACCTAAAATAATAATTTTAAATAATTTCCAACTTAATATTAAAAAAAAAAAAAAAACGGCCAGCGGGCCCCTCAATAATATTCGGTTTTTAGAGGAATTATTGATTACTGTGTTGATGTCAAATCAGTGGCGTATTAATTAAAGGATTTCCCAAGCTTCCCCCTTCCCCAATTTTGTTTTCAAAATTATAAAAGAAATGGGGGAAAAAGATATATTAAAATGTAAGTCTGAGAGTGCCATTTCCGTCCATCTAGAATTGTGCTAATCATAAATTTTCTTACCTCAACCCCAACCATGGTGGGGATGAGGTCATCTTCACCCTCCAACTGTGAAAATCCCCCTGACCCTTCTATTTTGAATTTCTGAAAACTTTAGGGAATTCCCTTATCACATCAAAGGTCCCGGCAATTATATACAGAGAGGGCAGATTTCCCCGACGAGAGCAAAGTGGGCGTGGTCGATCGTCGCTTAAAAAACGTTTCGAAAGTGGTTCGGGGGGGGGGGGCGAAGCCCCCAAAAATTTTGACAGTTTATAGGTTTCAAAGGCTTATTAATCGATTTTAGAGTCTACAAACATGAAGAAAATACGTATAATTTTTTCTCCCTGACGAATTGTGTTTTTCTCCCCTTCCCCACCCCTGCTGGCGCCACCCCTGTCGTATAACCAGTGGTTATACGACAGGGGTGGCGCAGTGGCGTAAACCGAAGGTTCAGGTGGTTCATAATAATAAATAACTAAAACCTAAAATTATAAGGTAATAGGAAAAAAAACATCACATGTGACTTAATGTTACTTGAAACTTAAAACAATTCAAGTAGATATTACATTCTCATGCAGAGCGTGATAATAAATTTATCAAGCCGAATTCGACAAGTTAATATTAATTAAAATCGTACCAGACATTCTTTTACTCCCAAATTCAAAAGATACGAGATTTAGTTTATATTATTCTGTAGGTTTTATGCAGTGTCCGACCCTTCGGAAGAGCAGTGTTTTCACTGAGAGGACTATCCTACTGACAGAAAATGAAAATAAATAAACAAGTCGGAGATGATACTTTTTATCAACCCACGTTAAATATATATTAGGCCTAATCTGTTTTGGTTTCTTTCTCTTCAGATGATCATATTTTTCTCTTCAAATGATCAATAAGGTTAACAATAACAATAACATAAGGTTAACAATAAGGTAACAGCTATAACTAAAGAGGGTCAGAATGGCATAAAAGAAACAATGCAAAACAATGATCATATTTTTATATTGGTACTTTTACTTCCATAAGTGTTCACTACAGTATTTCGGTCCTCAAACCTGCACTACGAAAAATAATGTCCGATGGGAACAGACATACACAAATTCATTTAGCAAAATGTACTGGTAGGATACAATATAATAATACATAGTAATCAATATTCGTGCCCCGAAACATTAAGAAACAGGCATGGTGCCCCTCGGGGGATAGAACCATGAATTACTTAAGTAAATAAATACTGTAATAAATTGTACAATATTCGATTTTCGACTTTCACATGTCTTATCTTGAAATCCTTTTAGGCCTATTTTAACATTTGTTAAATCTTTTTAATGCTGACTTCTCATTTTCCACCTTTTATCTTTTTAACGTTTCAAATCTTTTTTAATTTTTAAGCGTTTTAAATTTGTCTTTTTATGCAGTTTTATATATTTATATATCACTGCAGGCCCGTAGGCAGGGGGTGGGGGTTGTTGCAGAGGGTTCGGACGCACCACCCCAAAAGGTCCACTTTTTAAAACCTATGATTTCACAAAATCGTTCCTTATTATCACAAAATGCTATAGCATGCATTATATATTTGCCAGCTTATCTACCGGTAACCCGTTGATTTTTAATAATGTGGTATGAAATTTGTTAGAAATTGATCGTCTCTGATTGCAGATTGATCTATATAATATGAAGAATGTTATCTATAGGCCTGCAGATGTACAGGACATAATAACGTTACTTTATCAGATGCCACAGCATATAACCTTGAAGTGTGCTCAGATAAAATCTACACACAGGCCTACGTGTATGTTTAGCTGCAGAATGATTTATTTCGTGTTTATATGCAATAAAACAGTGATATATGTATTAATTCATGAAAATGTCTATTCTGTGAGTTGTTTTTAATCATAACAGATCCTCCGTGACAGGAATTGAACCCAGGACCGTGGAATTCAAAGACAGCTGCATTTCAACCACCAAGCTATTCAATTCCATTCCACTGATTATAATTGGTCCCCTGTTGTTACTTCTATCAAATCACCATTCACCATCCTAGACCACCCAATCATTGGTTAACATTTCTGTCCAGCTAATATAGATCAATAAATCAAACACGACGCAAGTATAGTGATCAATTTCACTTTCTGACAAATAAATGTCTGAACTTTAATAATAAACTTTTTGTGACGTTATCAGAGAGTTTATAGCATCTCTCTGATGACATTTAATGCAATCAAAAAAATACTATCATAATTTTACTTTTTAATCAACCATACAGATATAAGTACTGCAAAGTGTATGTATACATTAATACCATGCTCTCTAGATATGACATCGTTGAGTTGGGTTTAAAACAATTTGTTTTTTAGCTTAGACATTTGTTTTGGAATAAAGAGCCTATATTGAGTATCAACAAGTCACTTATCCTTTAAAATTATAGTTCTTTCAAAGTGAAGTTACACGATCTGAACATAAACATTCGATTCGAATCTGTTGTTGCTTATCTATAGTCTTAGACTTGTCACAAGTAATTTATTGACTTTTCCTAGTGTTACTATAGGTCTATATCCAACCAACATTACACCATCATCATTGGTTAATCTTTCTGTCCAGCTTATATTCATTAAGAATTCAAACATAGCATAAGCACAGTGATGAATTTCACTTTCTGCGAAGCAATGCATACATATACATATAAAAACATTTATATTTATATATACACACACATACATACATTATATATATGTATATAATGTATATAGATTGGTTACTGAATAAATTGAAAATCACTGTCAAGCACAGGAATCTAAACGATTCTGAGTTACATAGCATTTGTATAAGCCAAAATGATCTGCGTCACATCATATCGAAGGCAAAATTGAGCAGGTGAAGTAATTCAGTAAACAAAATCTAATTGTGCTGCAGTCAAAAGCATTAGCAATGACAGCAATGAGGTCGTAGAATAGCAACATAGCAAACATTGTTTTCAGGTTTTTTTTAAGCTAATAAGGGGCTTCAATTGCATGACAACGGCAGAACGTAATGACGTCACTAAAAGTCATCTGCACACACAAGACCGTCCAGTTATGGATTCGCATGGATTCCAGGACAGAATTTGGCCGAATCTACCTTGTGCAGAGAACGTAAGACAGTCACACAAGTGAATTTGTTATAGCATCATGTTGTCACGCAATCGCAAGCTCTCTAATTTCAAACGTTCATTACACACCAAACACTGACGTTACTGGTTATTAAAGTATTGATCCGCATCTCCACAAAAATTGCAACATGAAATATAATATACAAAACATATCAACATAATGGAATGGTGAATATTCATATACTGTATCATATAATATAATTAAATTTTAACGTATATAAATAAAACAAAAACACAGCTTATGAAATGCAATTATGTCAAAAATATCATGATGTATGAACTGTATATGAATAATGTTCTGAGATCTCATGACCTTGTACTCTATCATGGTGTATAAAAACCTTACATAATAACTCATAATTAGTTGTTATTATTACTGTTTCAGTAATCAAAAAATTACTAGGCCTAGTACAAATTCTACAAAAATGATAGTTTGATCTATACACAAAGTGCATAAAGTAATTCAACATTAATTCTGCCACAAAAATCCAATAGCGGCAGAGTAGAATTCTTAAACAATAAATGAACGCTACTACATTATTTTGAGCACTCATACATTTTAATTAAAATAGCTTTTAGACGTATTATATATAAAATAACATTTGTAAACAACATAAAACAACAACTAAATAATCAATACATGATCATTCTGAGGGGAATACAAAGACCTGACATGTTTAATGCACTCGGCATGTTTGTCATGATTCCACCAGGGGGAGTAACATCAATTTATGCAATGGCTTTAGCTTCCGGCAAAAAGTTTTCCCATTCTTTGATGAGCTGTAAGATAATATTGAAACATGTTAAAATTATGTAAAAAGAAAAATACTATTTCATACATTGAAGGTACAGTCTATTGAGCTAAAATATCTTCAAAAAATATATAATTCAGTATTTAAACTAAACTGCTTACATTCATATTTCATTTATTATTTGAAAATAAGAACGAGAAAACATTTTCTACATAAATTAAGTAGAGGTATAAATATCTAGCACATTTGTGAAATTGTCGTGTCTTACCTGTTGTTGGTGATCCATCAGAGCCTCCAAATATTTAATGACAACTTCACGGAAATCACGTACACGATTATGCTAAACATAGTATTAAAAATAAAGCATTTTAATGAGAGGCACTATTCTATATTGTAGGCACTAGGGTAATGAATTTCCGTTGCACTTGATGAATTCTAGATTCTCACAGTACGAGAGAACCACAAGGAACCACAGAGAATTGCATGTTTAAATTCAGGAATTTATGATTCAAATATTATTGCCTTATTAAAGATGTATTGTCCCTTGCTAATGTCAAAAAATCATAAAAAATAATTTTGAAATAAACTTGCTCATATTGCAATAGCATACAAATTATTAACTTGTGCATAAAAATTATTGAATTAAGAAAATGTGTACACTGATTTTTAAACCAAAAAATTCCAGTGACTGAAAGTGTTTCTATCATTTTTCGCTGTAAACTGATGGGTAGACATTTTTTAAATACACTAATTATTATGTTCAAATAGATAACTTTTATGTTACTTCAAACTGGGCAATCTAATTTCAAAAAAATATTTTTATGATTTTTTTTTGGTATTTAGCATGGGACAATACATCTTTAACTAAACAAAAAATAAAATATAAATAATAAATATAAAATAAATATGAAACACAAATATAATGTCATACACCCACCATTCGCATATTGAATTTTGCTAAGCTTGTCAGATTATTGATTTCAATCATAACTTTGTCCTAGATTACATCAATGATGAGTTTTGGGGATTTTTTTAAATACAATACATTACAATATATACTTTATTTGCAACTATAATATCTTAGTTGGATTGCAAAAACTTACTTCAAATCTGCTAACTTCTTTTCTGATGGTCTTTGATATCTTCCCAAACTCTTCTTGTCCCTTTTCTACCTTTTCTTCCCACTAAAACAGAACCACAAAATATTTGAGAATGTATTTGGGTACACCAATCAAAATAAAATCATTGTAAATTACCCTTCCCAGTTGCAGACGTTGTGGCTTTGCCTCTTTATTCCAGTTTAATTATGGAGGAATCTGTTCATCTAATAGCGTGGGACGTTGCACACAGGATTTGTATAATAAGCAATTAGTAGAGCTCCGCATAGTACACTATAGGAAAATTATTATACGAAGGTTAGATTTAATGCTTGAAAAAATTTCCTGAGGGCCTGCAACGCCCGACGGAAATTTTTGAATGCATTAAATCTAACCTAAGTATAATAATTTTTCTTTAGTGTACAATGCATGCTCTACTAATTGCTTTATAAGTCAATCACCGTCTTTCAATTTTAGTTTTTGATAACCAACTAGTGTAGCAGTCATCGGTTGCTATAGTGATAAGATCAGTATACTCTGTGCATATTTACATTTAGCTGTGCGTATGCTGATCTGTGCTGCTTCTGAGTACGTACGCGTTAACTACACATCAGCAGTACCATAGTCAATAAAAAATTACAAACAGTATGAATACGATGAATAACTATCGTAATTGTGTTAGAAAGAACTTGTTTGTAATGCTATTTTGATAGACATTCGTCAAAGAAATAAACATTTCAGCATTCAAAAGAATACAACTGACGTTTTTGGTCGGTGCATGCAGACAGGTAAAAATTGTGCGATGATGTCATAACTAGGCTAGGCTACGGCCTAGTAGGAGGAGGCCTCGGTGGCCTCATGTATGGACGTAGGCCTACGCCCAAATCTGTTCCTGGAGTCTTTAAAATAGGTCTAGAATATTCCTATTAAACGTTCAGTTTGTTTTGTTTATGAGGGTTCATTGATTCAATGAATTCCGTAATTGTTCATACTTAATATTGAATTTGAAGTAACTTCTTCGGGTCCTCATTAAGCTTGTTTTACGAAAGTAATTTTCAATTACAATTCAATTTTCATCGCGGTGTGTGATGTCTCCGCAGTGACGGAAAAATGAGGAATTTTTTTTTGCACACAAACCTAAAAAAAATCAAGCCAAGCGTCCACTTATTGAAAAATTAGTGGACGGTGGGGAATAGGCAAATAACATTGGGAGTTGCAGTGATGACGTCGCGATTGACTTATAAATTCCATTATAAAGCATTATGGTGCCCTATTGCTCTCAATAGCACCATTTGTTATTGGAAGCAAGTAGATTGGAGATGCCCATTCTAACAAGATTCATTGTTGCCGGTATACTTTTTCAAATTTAGGATGATGGTAGGTCATTCTGTAGGAAATGTCTTCAATATCAGGCTACAATAGTATCTCACACTGAAAAAGCCTAACAATCATTAAAAGAAAGCAAAACATCATGATCATGAGATCATGGGGATGCCCAAATCAAAATAAAACATTGTAGACTTATTATAGTTAATACACGTTTTCACCATAGCAGTGAATGTCCCTTACCTCTTTGATTTCTGATTTAACTTGGGCTAGTTTGTCTGGTTTGCCTGCAGACTGTAGTTTAGCTTCAGTTTCTCGTTTCTTAGCTAACATAGCTTGGGCATTCTGCCACACATGAAAGCACTTTTCACGTTCACGGAAGGTAAGCTGATGATAAAAAAAATTCAATATCATTCGTAATTAAAATTTATGTCGGTACAGTATATAATTCAAAAGTAATTTAATTGTCTAATCACTAATATATAGTGGAAGCAGTATAGTATTGGGCTGTCAATGAAGGGGTCAGAGTTTAAGAGTGATACTGCTAACATTGCCTATGCTATTGGGAAAGACATTTTGCCATCTTTCCCTCAATCAGGAGTATAAATGGGTACCTGGTCAGAAGTGAATGATTTGGAATGACATTAATAGTGCTAATTACATACAAAAATCAAGATGAATCCATTACTGTAATTAGTTTCAAATAAAACAATAACTCAGAAAACAGACAGACATTTTGAGAATCTCAAAATGTTTGTTTTAGAAGTTTGTTCTTCTGACATGCATAACTAGTAATTCTCCCCAGTGAGTGGAGGAGGTTGTGCGTTGTGAATGATTGATTTTTCTACCACTTACCAGGGGAGCGGGTTTGCATCCAAATAAAGGTAGCACTCAATAAAAAGATAAAAATTAATATATAAAATGAAGAATACCTTGACAGCACCAATAAGACCAACATAGTCCTTCAATAGTTCTGAAAATATGAAGAAGTCTGTATTGGCTTGCTCCATATGTAGAGCATCTATCTTCTCCTCGGTTTCTGCTAGTTGAGATATAGCCCTGGAAAGAGCTGTATGCTCTTCAGAATTACCCAGCATTGCTGCACTCTTGGCAAACTGTCCTGTTGCTAAACCAAGATCTACAAATTAAAATGTAATTGAAAAGCATTATCGATTAGGAAGCTTTTCAGGACAGAGGCAGATTCTGGAGTGTGTGGATATGCAGCCAGCTGGGGCCCCATTGTTTTTGAAATATAAAAGAAAATGTTGACTTTGCCTAACTCGAATAATTTCTAAGTCAATCCTATTTTACATGGCAAATGTTGTGTTTTCCATTAATTAATGATCTGTAAGTTGAACAATTTTATAATGTCATTTTGGATTCGACTTAGGCAAGTTCAACTGTACTACGACATAGCGCTAGTGAGAGAGGGGGCCACCCAATGGCCTTTCAGGTGCTAATTTGGACTTGGAACTAGGTGTTTCCCAGAAAGCACACTGGTGTTACATAACTGGTCAAACCTCCATAGTAAAATGCTAAGTTGTAGTTAGTCATAGTAGGAGGGGCCCTTTCTAATAAATCTGCCAAAGAGTGTTTGTAAAATTTTGGTCTATTTGGTTTTTTAAAATTATAGAAAAAGTTACCACATTGTCGAATAGTTGTATGTCCATACTTTACTAATTTGACCCTTGCCTTATTGGTTTGAGTGAGGATAGAACTATCTTACCTTTCCTGTGAAGCACCATGTTTTCAACACTAGCATGTAGTTTCTTCAGATGCTGCTCTAAATTGTCAACTTGATTTTGCTTTTCCTCAAACCACTGCAAAATAGATAAGACACATTTAATCATCCATTGTAAATATACTTTTGTACATTGATAGATCTTTTTTAGCTGATTCCATATGGTGTGATCATAGAGGTATAAAAAATACCTCCATGGTGTGATGATTATTTCCTGTTTAGGTTGAATTTCTGATCAAGAATATAAGCCATTTGTTTATTGTGTACAGTCAAACTCGCCTAAGTCGAATCTAAAGTGCCACTGAAATATAGTTTGACTTAGATTAAATTCGACTTTGCTTTAGTCGAATTTAATTATTATACCACAATAGCAACTTGACTTGGAGAGTTGGGCTTTATAGAGACCCGAACAAATTAACATGCACTGACGGTACACGCACGACGTTGACCGCACATTTGGCCTAGTACTGTAGAAGTAAAGACCTAGCCTACCTAAACTTACCGTGAAAGCAGTATTCTTCAGAGTAGCAATAAATTATTCTTCAGTTATTACAGTATATTTAAATGTTTTGTTAACTACTTCTTTGCCATTCTTTTGAATATATTATAAAAAGAGGAATCAGTCAATACTTAAATTAAAGCTTAATCACTACTCATGCACATGCTTGCTTCTCGTTTTACCGCGAGGACATTTATTTTACAATTACTGTACGTATCTTACAATACAATTTAATTTACTGTATTTAAAAAAGAACTAACAAAACCTTAAACTTAAACATTAGTCACTTGTCGACGTTACCACATTTCTGAACAATAGTGAGGAATGTGAGTTAAGTCCCATGTAAAATAAACTACACAAAGTACCGCTATGCAATGTAAACATGTGTCACTTATTGGGCCTACTTAGCGTGTGAATTTCTGCATTGCCAAATGTATGAGTCACTTGTTGACGTTCACAGCGATGTTGGTAAAATGGCGACAGCTTAAAATGTTTGAAGTTTTACGTCAAGATTTTGACTTCGACTGATTGAAGTTTTACGTCAAGATCTTGACTCAACTTACGGACTAACAATTAATGGAAAACAGATCAATTTGGCATGTAAAATATGTTCGACGTTCATTTTTATTCGACTTAAATTTATTCGAGTTAGAGCAAATATTAACCATTGTAAATATAGGGAAGATGATGTGACAATTTTTCGACTTAGGCACATTCAACTTAAGCGAGTTTGACTGTATTTTGCAGAAGGAAAGAATGCTATTTATTTTGGCAATTTAATTTTCAAATTATTTTCTCTTCAGCATCAACATGGTTTCTTTTAAAACCAAAACTAATCCATTTTTCGCAGAACAGAGTTCTGTGTTGCTTCTAATCGCTTAAGCCTTTGTTCTTTATATTAATTTTCTATTAGTAACAACAGACAAAAACAAGAAAATATTAGAACAGATTATTAACAAAACAAAGATGTCAGTTTGGTAAAGATAACAAACCTGATCAGATTCTGTCATCTTAGAGGTGGCCTTAGACGCTGCGTCAGCCACTTTGTTGAAAACCCTCATTACACCCGCTCCACTCAAGGCCTGCGTATTTGTAGCTTTTGGCAACTAGAATAAAATCAAACGTTGCAATTAATCAATCAACCAAATAAACAGTGTTCGAAATAAGGAAAAACTTAAAGTTGTCATGCGGACAACCTAGATGGAAACTTTGGTTGTCCGCAAATGTTTTTACTTGTCCGTATATTATCTGTTGCTTGCTTCATTTTTACCTTGCACTGTTTTCCCTCCTGCCCGCCCATAGAGCTATTAAACAACTAGAGTGCTGACAAGATGGCACAGCAATGCAGAGTTATGTATGTGTACCATCCAAGATGGCCGTCGTAGTAAAGTGCCACCTTCAGGCTTAGTATACATATTATTACATATTAATAAGCCCTCTGACTGACTATTATTTCATTAATGATNGAGTAATGGTAATAACAAATTATTAAACTATTGTAGCCAAAACGAGGCCAAGTGGAGCATCTTATTCAAAAATAAAGTACCAAGGAATGAAAATTAAAATCATGTACATTACACCCAAACACCGCAACGCTCGAGTTTCAAACATAGGGGTAACTAGCTGTACTGAACTTTCTGAGCAAATTGAGGGCCCAATTGCAAACGATAGTGCTTAGTGAAATTTGATTGTCTAAATCTATGGCAGCCACCTTGGATGGTACACACACACAGTTCTGCGTATTTCGAACATCGAATACATTGCGGTTAGCGCTCTAGTATTCTTATTATATTTCTATGGGCCTGCCACAGTATAAGTCCAAAATGGCTGTGCCCGTGACAACAACGCAGTAAAGTTCGGGAGGCAAAAACAATTACTTGAGGTGAGGTTTGGGTCCAAAATATTTTGGTTGTCCCACGGACAAGTTGCCCTATAGTTCCGGTTGTCCGTGGGACATTTTGGTTGGCTGGGACAAGCGGACAAGCCTTATTTCGAACACTGATAAAAAATAATTTCTTAAATCTATCAATCAATCAATCAAGATGAAGTAAAATAAAAGAAATTTTAAATCTGAAAATCAATCAATCAATAAGTCAATACACCATGTTAACGATGTGTATAAGAGACAGGCATTATGGTGCTCTATTGCTCTCAATAGCACCATTTGTTATTGGAAGCAAGTAGATTGGAGATGCCCATTCTAACAAGATTCATTGTTGCCAGTATACTTTTTCAAATTTAGGATGATGGTAGGTCATTCTGTAGGAAATGTCTTCAATATCAGGCTACAATAGTATCTCACACTGAAAAAGCCTAACAATCATTAAAAGAAAGCAAAACATCATGATCATGAGATCATGGGGATGCCCAAATCAAAATATGGAGCATCTTATTCAAAAATAAAGTACCAAGGAATGAAAATTAAAATCATGTACATTACACCCAAACACCGCAACGCTCGAGTTTCAAACATACGGGTAACTAGCTGTACTGAAATTTCTGAGCAAATTGAGGGCCCAATTGCAAACGATAGTGCTTAGTGAAATTTGATTGTCTAAATCTATGGCAGCCATCTTGGATGGTACACACACACAGTTCTGCGTATTTTGAACATCGAATATATTGCGGTTAGCGCTCTAGTATTCTTATTATATTTCTATGGGCCCGCCACAGTACAAGTCCAAAATGGCCGTGCCCGTGACAACAACGCAGTAAAGTTCGGGAGGCAAAAACAATTACTTTTTGGTTGTCCGACGGACAAGTTGCCCTATAGTTCCGGTTGTCCGTGGGACATTTTGGTTGGCTGGGACAAGCGGACAAGCCTTATTTCGAACACTGATAAAAAATAATTTCTTAAATCTATCAATCAATCAATCAAGATGAAGTAAAATAAAAGAAATTTTAAATCTGAAAATCAATCAATCAATAAGTCAATACACCATGTTAACAATAACTAAATCAATCCATCAATTAGTCAATAAACCATGTTAACAATAACTAAAATCAATCAATAAGTCAATAAACCATGTTAACAATAACTAATTAAATCAATCAATCAATAAGTCAATAAACCATGTTAACAATAACTAATTAAATCAATCAATCAAAAAGTCAATAAACCATGTTAACAATAACTAATTAAATCAATCATTAAATCAAATAATCAGTATATCAATCAATAAAGGATTAAAACCTTCTACTTTGCTTCTCTGAAACTTGACACATGTGAGGTAAACCACTAAAAAAATCACATGCAATTCATGGCTAAAAAATAATCTCGCCATATACATTATATACATAATCTTTATTGCAATTTAAAAAAATATTTTTGATTTGATAAAATACAATGTGTAGGCCTAACTATGCAATAGAGAAAAAAAAAACTACAATAAAGAACTCCAATAAAAAAAAAAGCATCAAAAGGCATGAAAAGCAAAATACCATATGCTCGGTGGATTATCAGATATAACAACGTACCTATTACAGATAGTAGACAAAGTCTACCATCCCTCATAGTTACCGTATATTGTGATGAACTTTCAAGTACGCTCAAGCTTGGCAAGTGGAAGATCATATTCACATTTAAACCTAAGGTTGTGATTATGTGTTGTTGTGTTCTCTTTAGTAATGAATTGAGTTTATGTTGTTTTTTCTTACCAATACATTGCTGACATAAATAAATGCACCTGTTCGCTAGTGAAGTAATTTCTGAATTTCACATGCTGAATTTGTAAGGGGTAAATGGGGTTATTATTCCAACAGCACGACATTTGAATGTACCGCCAGTTTGGCATAGCGGTTGAGGTTTGGGATTTCAATCATAAGGTCGGAGTTTCGAGCCTCCGCTGTGCAGATTCGCTTGTGTCCTTGGGCAAGGCACTTTAGCAACATTGCTTGAGTGCACCCAGCTGTGTCAATGGGTACCAGCAAACTGCTGGGGATTAACCTGCGATGGACTAGTGTACTGGCCAGGGGGAGTACAACTCTCATCCGCTTCACGCTACAGAAACAGGGAATAAGCTCCAGCTCTATGAGCCCCTAGTGGCTTGGAAAGGATTTAGTTACGACACTTTCTAAACATTCAGACTGATCACCATTGAGCAAAGATGCCCAACAGTGAGCAAGGATGTCTCATAGAGGATAGATGTCTTGGAAAGCTCTATTACTCATTTCCAACTCCCCCTTACATGATTACAATCACAATTCTGTATTACTTACATCATCTTTTTCAAGGAATTCTACAAAGTCACTGTCGGTGCAGAGTTGTGGATGGTTAGCAGTTCTGTTTAGAAACCGTGCCAAAGAAGCCCTGCGTTTCTCAATGAATTCCATCGATGTCGTCTCTTCTTGTGTCTTTGCCATCTTTACCTTAGTCATACCTAAAAAACAAAATTTACCAAATATAGTATTTTAGAAATGGGTAATTTCCATATATTTTTTTGGCATTTTTCAATACTACTAATATCTTGGTGAAACAGGATTAATAAAAAATATGAGAATTTATTACTCATTGCTCATTTGAATGTTTACTCAACTATGTAACAGCTTGTAAATTTAAGTATAAAACAGATTGGTTGAATAGGGCCTAACACATTAGTTAAGTACTTCACAGCATAAATTAATAAAAATAGATTATTCAAATTTCAATTAATATTCAATACCCACCAACAACACTTTTCTCAGGAGCAGGAGGTACTATGATCCCTTTGGTGGCATGCTTTGAAGACAGTTTCTGATATAGTCCAAGAAAATCACTAAAACGTCGCATTACACTCATCTCGGATTTCTTAAAAGCTGGATTTGAAGTCTTTTACAAAACAAAACATACATATTTTGAAATATAATAAATTGAGATTCTTACCATAATAATGACTTCAACATAATAATATTTTGCAACTGCATTCATATTGAAAGCCTCGAAGTGCATCAAATTATTACAATAATCATTGGAACCTTTGACATGCACACACAGCTTTCTCCTCCACTTTGATTGCAATTGTAGCAGTTAAGATGTCCACTTACCTTTGTGTTTACTTTATAAGCCATATATGATCCCATCATGCCATCTCCTGTAAAAAGAAATCAAGACATGCAGTTTCAATTCCTGATGCCTGCTTGATAAATGACTGAATGAATAAATAAATAAATAAAAATATGAATAAATAAATAAATGAAAAATAAAAATGAATGCTGAAAAAAAATGAATATAAAAACAATGAATGAATGAATAAAACAATTATAGAAGAAGTAAACAAACAAATGGTTTGTTTCTTACCAACTTTTTGTGGATCAGTAATTACAATTTCCATCTCGAATTTGTCTTGATCCTCTTCAAACAGATCGCTCTCATCATTTTTTTCCTGAAAAATCAAATAGTAAATAATTATGTAAAAAGGTAGGAGAATAACCCATAACTCACAGCGCTATTGTGTTGAATTGCGCATGGGCGTGGTCCTTGACTACCTAGCAGCCGTAAAGAGGTGCTTATAGTAGTACATGTTCACACCATTCAACAATGACAGGGGCTGAAACCATAGGACCAGGGTAACCCCTTACTCATCCGAAAGGTGCAATTGGTTCTTTAAAGTGCACACAACCCAGATGTATACACTGGAACTTCTGTTTTAAGTCCTTATCCAAGAAGACCCCAACCCATGGCGAGGAGCAGCTAGAACCAGCACAAATGTTAAGGTTGTTGTTAGCAGCGCCCATACCTTACCACTCACAACATAGGAGCGGTTGGCACACCGGTTGTGGCTTGGACTCCCAACCTTGAGGTCGGGGTTTGAAACTCTGGCTGTGCAAATCGCTTGTGTCCTTGGGCAAGGCACTTTATCTACGGTTGCCTCTCTCCACCCAGGAGTACAAGTGGGTACCTGGTAGGTTCCAACACAACCTGCGCTGATTACTAGCTGCAATTTATGGAATGATAATATAATTTCATTTACTAATTTAATTTGGCGTTTCAATGTGTTCCATATGTGTTTGATCCAATGACCGGGGTAGTAATGTGAAGCGCTTTAGAGGCCTTGTAAAGGCATGAAGCGCTATATAAGAATGACATATTATTATTATTATTACAACCACACAACTCACCCATATAAAAAAAATATTGATTGGTTGGTTGGATTTCTTCAGTGTGATATACACACCAAGGATAACCCATGAAAGTCCTGAGACCTTTTTGCATTGGGGTCCTTCTGGTGGTGAATTGAGCAGTACACCGGCAAACAATTCTTTAACGTGCACATGGGCCATTTTGCACACAGGACCAATGGCTTAAACGTCTCAGTAGAAAGACAGTGTGCTTTTTGAAACTTGCATTTTTGTCCTCCAGCTGAAACCCATGGAGAACATTGGTGGGAATTGAACAGGGAACCTAAAGATCTCCACGGTTCAGCGCACACACATAGTGGCTACCACCAGTTTAGCCGACTAAGCTAGCCGCTTTCGATAACAATAAGATGGGATAATTAGATAAGATTCAATAGTATAAGGATATCAAAGTTAACGATTCTTAAAAATTTATAGACTATTTCTTAATTCACAAGGTTTAAAAAAAAACTGTCAACATTTTAATTTATTTGTGTCCTCCTCTCTGGTATCTTGATGGTTTGTTATTCTTCTGAACAAATTGATCTTACTATTTGCATGGGTGTTTGTTAGTAGTCTTAGGTTTGGGTGTAAAGAACAGTTACCTCTGCTTTGGCTTTGGAGGCACCAGGTGCAGCCACCGTCTCGGTAGTTGCCGTAGCTGTTGCTGGGGAAGAAGGAAGAGAATCTTCAACTGGTTCATCATCTTCATCATCCTTCTTGTCGATTGGTTCTGCATCAAGATTTGCTGGTTCATCATCTTGTGCATCATCTAATGAAATCTCTTTGGTAGTTCCATCTAGAGGGGAAAAAAACAGTTTATTTCATTCAAAATTCAGAGATGAAACAGGAAAATACAATAAAGACTGAAACATTCTGTATTGCCTTAGAATACTTGTTTTTTGGCAAATAATAATAAGAATTATGTTCAATAATATGCATTACACACAAACATATTTTTAAACAATAAAGTACCATTATTGATTATGATTATTATTATTATTTATCATTACCATTCCCATTAACATTACCATTTACCATTATCATTATCCTTATTATCATTATCTTTACATGAGGGTAATTCCATGTCAAGTCAATCAAGAATCTATCTCAATCTCCTGGATTTTGTTAAAATTTTAAGATGTGTTTGGGACCCATAAGAAAAAAAAATAGAAATGAAAATGTTTTGCTCTAGGCCTCTTAGTTAGTGAGATACATGCTAATGAACTTTGAGATAATTTGCGATAGCTTGCATGTTTAACTGACTGTATCTTGGTAAGTACAGCACCTGTTCAGTTGGTTTTAGTGTCATTTTAAAGCTATTTAAAAGCTCTATATCTTTATTAATAAATAAATCTGAGATACGGTCAGTTAAACACGCAAGGTACCGCTAATTAGCTCAAAGTTTGTAGCACTTTCTGACTAATTAAGAGGCCTAGAACAAAAATTTTTCATTTCTGATCGTTTCTCATGGGTCCAAACTTCATCCCAAAATTAGATCAAAAGCTGGGAGATTGAGATAACTTGTTGGTTGATATGATATGATATGATATAGAATTACCCATGATGAATGATATTCCACCCACAATATTCCAACAATTGGTTTTGGTCATAGTGACAACAGTGCACGCACTGGAGGTGCTCAAGGGCAGGGAAACTTTGAATATCGTGGTTTTCATATATCATGATCAGGGAAGGTTGGAGAGAGAAGGGAGAGAGAGGAAGAAAGACAGACAGAAGAGCTGTCTGGCACTGTACTTGGTGGTTATAGATGCCTGCCTTTCTACCCCAGGATCAAACCATTTCACAGCAGGTTTCCCTCCCCCCCCCACCCCCACAACTAAAAACAGATGCACTCTGCAAGCATCGTACAGCATCATTCCATCCTGTAAATGGCGAGAGATGCACTCTGCAATCATCGTACAGCATCATTCCATCCTGTAAATGGCGAGTCACAGTACGTACTTGATTTTGGATGTGAAAGAAAAAATAAATAAATATAAAAAGATGAACCTTGAATGACATCATACAGAACACCAAAGAAAAGGAGCAACGCATGGTACTGTTATAGATTTACAGATTCTATAAAAATACTAATTTTAGTGAAAATATTTTAATTACCTCCAAACAAATCATCACTATCTGACAGTTCCTTTTGCTTTTCATTTTCAGTCGGTTTGGTCTAAAAGAAACAAAATATAATATATTTGGTGATCAGGTTTTACAGAAATATGTGCCTAAATTTATGGTACTTTCCTTCATAAATAATAACATTTATAGTTATATTTTTCAATATAATATTTTGCTTTGAAATTTGTATTATTGCTCATGTGCAGGTCTTTACTTGTCTAAGCTTCCACTTATCTCTTTCCACTACCATACTAATTCAAAAAAATATCACCAATAATAATTTTAGGGCATGTTTCTGCTGAATAATGCCAAAAACAAATTTTTTTTTTAAACAGTTAAATTCCTTTGAAACGCATTTCTAGTTAAACGTGCAACTAATAAAAACATGGTAACGCGAGTACTGGCAGGTAGGCGGAGCTTATAATTATGATCATCTATGGAAGTTGAAGCAGAAACAGGCCCGTAGTTAAAATTCTTTGTTACGTATCCCGCAGGCAAATAAAATACTTTACAGTGTGGGAATCGTGCAAACCGAATTCCATATGTAGGCCAAGATGCAGAACATGCCCGGTGAATGAGTTGGCTAGTCTAGGTGAGTTTTGTTGGAAAAAGTGTTATTATTAATTAAACATATTATTGTTGTTCAATTGGGAAGCTCATGTGCTGTTAACAATAGCTGAAAATTCAAGGTCAGTGACATTAATTGTGCTCGTTTATGAACATTAAATTAACTACAGTACAGTAAATAGCAGTAGTGTTGTTGTTTGACAAAAAAAAAGTGCCTTGCTTGCCTAAAAAAAAGAAATTCTATTCTAAAATACCTAGCTAGACCTAGCCTAGCTATGCTAGTAAAGTAATAGTATTCTCGTATCTCAAATACAAGTTAATTATTAAATTATTAACCAACAATTAATTCTGAGAAATATGCAATGCCAACCCTGCTAGGTCTAACCTAGGCCTACCGAAAACAACCCTGGATGGCCGTAAACGCCCAACTTGACACGGGAGCGGAGTAAATACACACCCCCCTCTGCAGCCCGTCGTTTGTTGTAGTTTCGATAGGCCTAGGCCTATGTATGCCGACGTCCAATATTATATATTAAAATGGTTTAAATAGCTTTGTTTTTTAATGAATTCAATTAACAATACCTCGGAAGCATCTTTGAAAATGTCTTCTTCTTCTTGCTTATCCTCCTCTTTGAATAGTTGCTCTCCTTCTTCTTCAAAGAGAGGAGGTGGTTCACGTTCGTCAGCCATGATTGGTCATGTGAGTTGAATGTGGCAAGAATAGACTCACAACGGACAGAAACAATTTGTATTACTGTATATTTTTTTTAATCAAAATATAAATAATACGGTTTCAGCTAATAAAAATACTTGTATGAAATAAAACTAATATTCATTTTTAAAAACGTTGTTGCACTTTTCACTTGAAGGAAAAACGATCTAGGCTAGGCCTAGTCTACGTCACGGTGCTCCTCCCAAGACCTGACCGTATCATGGATTACTAGGTAGCGGGCGAAAACACTACTCGGCCCGGTGGGCCAGCACTGCACCACAACCCTAGTTCATATTGCATAGAAACCACATAATAGTGAATTAAATTCTATTGTCCCTTTTTAATTGTGGTGTATCGTTCTTTAAATAGGCATACGGTAAATCACTCTTCCTTTCAATCACTGAATCAGTGTTTGTATTCCGGAAGTTTATTAAGACGTTGTGAATATAATAAGTGTCCTACAGGTTGTAGCACCCTCACAAGTGAAGTAAGAAGAGGATAGAGAGAGATGAAAATGACAAAAAAATAATTTTAAAAAATAACAAAAAACAATTAAAACACATTTTTTTTAATGACCTTGCTCATTTTGCACACGCATACATTATTAACTTGAGCACAGAAGTTATTGAATTTAAAAAAAAATGTTACCCTGATTTTTATAGGCCTACTGGATAATAAAAACACTTCAGTGATTGAATTTAAAGGAAGAGTGATTTATCATTTTTTTTTCGCAGTAAAATTATGGATAAACATTAATTTCTATGTCCATGTTGATAATTTTTATAATGTTACTTCAAAATGATCAAAGTAATAAAAAAACAAATTATTTTAAAGATTTTCGTTTGGTATGGGACAATACGTCTCAAATTTAGGAACAATTAGGCCATGACACCAATCCTTGTCAAGTTCGCTGATTCAAAAAAGAGGCAATTCAGCAGACGCGTTGACAAAGCAAGTAGGCTAATAAAACAGATTGCAATATCCACAGTTAAATTAAAATTGTATTTTCAACAAGTGGAGGTTGTAGCCTAAGTTGTTCAATTTAGCTGTTAATCCGCCTGTGTAAACTAAACTTCGCCTCATTTGTGTTATTATCCTTCGCTAAAAATCACAGCAGATGGAAAATTAATACAGAAAAATAACATGTGATCTTGTTCACACATTTTAATTTTCATAAATTATTGAACAACTGCAGTTTATTTCAGGTAATGATAGCTGCTTTATGTTTTTGCTAAGTGGCGGCGCTACGGGGAGTAAGGGGAAATTTTCCCCAGATTTTCTTTCCAAGTTCCCACCCCCAACCAAAAAAAAAATATTTAAAAATCCACAATTCGTCCCGGAGAAAACAAATAGGGCCACTGGATCACACCCTGGACCCAACCATGTTGGGGCTGAGGTGCAAACATCTTGAGAATATGGACCTTACCTCGTCGGTGCCAGGAAATTACACTCTCATATACCTTTAAAATCTTACCAATTATTAATAATATTAATGTCAACAATATAGGCCTAATACAACATTATTTTTCTTAATACAATTTAGGGGGTGCGATCGCACCGTCTGCACACACGGCATCCGCCCCAGACGTAATACAATAAGCTCTCTTCGATAACGATCTTCGATTTACTTCAATATATGAAATCATTACAAGAAGAGAAACAATAAACCGTCTTGTGCTCATGCTTCATGAATAAATTCTAAATGGTAGAAGAGAACTGTGCAAAAGTGTGAAAAAATCGGCACAACCGGGATTCGAAGCAGGTTAGTCCTGGTCCTCCCACGAACCGGCCTGCAGAGCCGCCTATACTGTACACAAAAAGTCACTTTCAAAAATCGCAATTGAAAAATTAGCACTTTTCTTATGTATATGTTATGTAAAAATATTAACAAATTGTAGTAATAGTTGCTGCACTTGCGGATTTAACAGTAGTCACTTTATAAGCGCAAGCTCAGTGATCGAGTGGTTATGAGACCAGTTGCGGCGCCAGTGGGGGCTGAAGATGGCTTAAGCCCCCATCGGACAGGTCACTGACTGAGAGTGAAATTTCCGGCCATCCAGAGGTCCATACTGTATTTTAAAAAATCTCATTTCGGAAGGGACACCCACCTCCGAAACCGTTCCCTGGCTCGGGTATACAGCCCCCGGATGGCGCTGTGCGCCAAAGCTATCCTTATCTCACTCAGCCCCCTCGCTTGTGATTTTTTTTTGCAAGCTCTTGAGAAAGTACTGAGTATCTCTGAGTACGATAAAACGTCAGGTAGGGCAAAACACCACTCCTATGGCATTTTCCTGACACCCAAACACACAACGAATTATAAGCGAAAGCCCGGTGGAGGCACGCCGGAAGCTATTTTTATTGGTCCGGCCAATTAAATATGCATTAACATGACTTCTTTTTATTAGTTTTGTCTTTGTAGCTCAAAACACGCATTATTCTATTATATCAATCATTCATACTTGTACTAAATATATCAATTAACCATTCATGCTTTCTCGGTTATATTTGTCACCATGGGATTTCATAAATATTAACGTACGTACAAGTAATAGTAGATAAACATTGTTTTAACAGTAGAAATGATATGTTGCAAAAATACTCTAAAGAAATGACACGTGTTCGTCTCAAACCAGGGCCATAGCTCAGCTACGGGTTGTACGCATGTATATTATTGGGCGGTTTGGGACATGTCATCGGGATTTTTTTCATGAAAAAATTGGAAATCGATCAGTTCGACCGTACCAGATGATAAACTTAATATTAAAAACAGCCGTATTGTACATTTAATGTTTAATTGTTTAGTTTCGATTTCGAATTAGTTCACAGTCACCACATAATTATAGAATAAATTAATGCAAATATGAAAATGAGATGGAATGAATTACATTGGAAGTAAAGCTTTTAACATATAACGCTTAACGTAATAAAATAATTAATTCTTAAAAAAAAAAACCTAATCTAGGCCTAAAGAAGTAATTTCACCCTTCACTGCATTTCTGAGACGAGGTTTCGGGGTCTGAATAAACAAGTGAAATGTTTTAATAGAATTGATCTATCATTCTAGTCATCTAAAGGTAAAACTTTTACCCAAGCCAAAACTTGAATGCTATAAAAGAGCATTTTAACCTCCTTCTTTAACAGCCTTCCCGAAGACCTTCGAAAGTCTGATTCATTTTATTCTTTTAAACGAAACTCTAAATTGTATATTAAAGACGAAGAATTATAGAGTTTATTTTCAAATTATATAATCAATACACAGGAATTGTATACACCTTTTAATAAATTCATTCTTTCATTGTTTGATGCCTATTTGAGTGATTGATATATAATATATATTATCTGATTTTATTTATATCTATTTTATTGATTTGTTAGGCCTATATATATATTGAAAGGACTTCATTCGTTGAAAGCTACAGGGTCTGTCTCTTATACACATCTACAGAAACAATTTGTATTACTGTAGACTCTGTCTCTTATACACATCTAGATGCGTATAAGAGACAGCATTTCAATGTTCCATATTTTCAATAAGCTGAATGTGCAATTTATGTTTGATTTCGTCAGAGAAAGTAGAATTTGGCTTACAAACGATAGTGAGTTGTGACCAGCCGGACCGTTTCCGACGCCCTTGGTGGTCTGGTTATGACACCAGGCTATTTCTGTAGGTCATGGTTTCAATTCCCACCCATTACCGATTTTTTTTTTGGCTAGTTATCTGGACGTCGGAGATATTCGAGCACCTGAATCACTCGCGATTTTGTTTTCGCAAGTATTGGAACGTACTAGTACGATAACAACGTAATGTAGGGCAAAACATCACTCCTATTAGTTGTCACAATGTTCGTAGTAATCTTTTAATTTTTTACATTTAATAGTTTAAACGGATTCGGCGGATTATTGTCCCTTCGCATGAACCATGAGCTATCAAATACATTACGCAATTCGCGCGATTAGCATTTCCATGCACAAACCAAACACATTGGCGATATTTTTGGTTGAAGTACCCGTTGAAGTATTACGTTTTCATCCTGCGTTAGGCCCACTAAATTCAAAACATGAAGGACGTGAATAAATATTTCCATAAAATTTATAATAATTATAATTCAGTTTTACGTAGACGTGCATTGATTAAAGTAATTTACTGCTTCATTATTATTGGTATATATACATTTATGTTAATCTAAATTAATCAAAAGTTTATTAAAAATGTATGACCCAATTGTTAGTGGTTTCATTAAAATAATCTTATTAATCAAATTAATGTAGGCCTACCAAGTTCAGTAACAAACATTTAGGATGGCCTACCTTTCTGAGGTGTTCTGAGATGTTAGACCTTCGCTTTGTTATTATAACGAATTTTATAAAAATCCTCATATTTTAGTCTGCGCTATCTGGTCAATCAGCCGCCCCACCCTACAATACTTTTTGAAATTATAAAAAAAAAATGTTACTATACAAATTTAAGTCTGATAGTGTCTTCCGGCCACCTGAGAGTGCCATAATTATAAATGTATTAATTTATCTCAGTCTCAACCTTTGGGGCTGATGTGGTCTAGGCCTCCATTGTGAAAGTCCCTAAGTTAGTCCCCTCTATTTAAAATTCCTAGATCTGCCACTGATATTTTCTCTCCTTTTAGGAGCTTCACAAGCACTGTCTTTATCATTAAGTTTGCAATAATTTACATCAATAACCCAAGCCCGTAAAGGGGTGGGAGTTTGGCTGAACCCCTTTCTCGACCAGTTTACTAGTGCACGGTAGTATTTTATAATTTCGGAACAGGGGTGTGTAGTATTAAAATGGGTCGTAGGCCCAAAGTGAATTTTTTATTTAACTCGTATGACCCTTTCCCCAAAAATTGTCAATGGTCCACATTTTTTCCAAAGATATTTTTTTCTCCTTTTCACAATGACATAAATAAAAAAGCATTGATTGATTGGTACCTACCAGCATTAATACTTATATTAAATGAGACTTTAAACTGCTCATAGGTATAAGTGCCTATAATGTTTTTCACCAAGGAATGAATGTCCTCAGTCTGTGTCAGTTCGGCAGCAATTTATATTATTTTTTAAAACTTGTATTGACATTTTAATCACATCTTGCTGTTATTTCATTGTGAAAAGGTCCAAAACTTATGATCCCGATACACCCCTGTACAATGTGCTGTTTGAGAAATATTGAAGTTGAGCCATTAAACGTCACTGCAGTGCTCTTAAGCTCTGGATTGCTTCTCCTTGCCTCTTTGGTTTTTAAGGAAATACTTAAAATGCATATTTTATACAACACTTTTGGTTACTGTTTACTAATGCATGTGTTTTTTTAAGTAGGCTAGACTACACAGGCATCATGTGTTAATCAGTCCACAATAAACACTTCTAAATGCGGGCGGAGTGATGATAAATACGTTATATTGTATTTCTGTTTTTATAGTGTACTTGTTAATGCTAGAAAAGATTTATTTATAATCATTTAATTAAGTTGCGCTACGCAAACCAGCAGCGAAGTGACAAAAATGATCTGATAGTAAAGTAGCTTCATTTTACATGTGTTGTCTATTCAACTTTTTTTCTAGTATGTTATGTGCAACATGAACCACCTATGATGTGTGAATTTTTCAGAGTTGTGACAACTGGTGTGACAATTAAAACTTTTCTCTTGTTTTTATAGGTTTTTAATGTGCCGATATTTTCTTACTCTTGTATCGTTTATGATTGTATTTTATATGTATATATTGGAACCAAATAAATTCAATTCCAATTCGGAATGAAGGATTCAATACCTTTATTTTCCTGACTTGAATAATGCATATCAGTATACATATATTTTGTTTATATGTTGATATAATTCTTATCTAATTAAAAAATATTTTAGAAATACATGATTATAAAATCCTATGCTATTATAAAATTAAATCCATATCAAATGCAGACAAGTGGATTTTTTCCCAGGAAATCGATCAAAACAAGGCTATGAGGTAGGTAATGGCAGGGGTGGTGCCAGCGGGGGATAGCCAGGGCCCGTCAGGAAGAGTCCCCCTACCCTGTCGGGAAGAAAAACACAATTAGTTTGGGAGTAAGAAAACTATTCGGAAAACCATGGCGCCACCCTTAGGTAATAGGCTAGAAATGAAGCATTCAGTGGAGTAAAAAAAGAATACACATTCCTCTTAAACTCGAGGAAATAATCAAGCGATAGTAAACCTGAGGAAAGTAATCATGCGGTAGCAGGTTCCAAACAGAAATGCAACATAGGAAAGATTTGAAGTCAACAGGTTCATGGTAATTTTTGTTTCCTTCCTCCTGTAGAGCCTTGAGCACTACTGCAGTGGATTTGTGCGCTTTATAAATATTATTATTATTATTATTATTAAAAGGTGGTGGGTGGTCTTGCACATTTATACTGATTAATATTTTGGGCATTCTGCTTTTTGGATATCTTCAACAGACATCCCCCATACTTTCCTCAATGCCTTCCAACCTTTTTCTTGAGTACTAAGTACATATGTATTACTCGGATTGATAGAATAGCATTGTAACCCTAACAACAGGGATTGCACAAGTCGAGTAGCAATGAGTGTAACAATCATATTTTTTTCTGAATCTGGTAATTTGATTACACTCTCATAACCCGAAAGATACCATTTACAAACAGTTGCTTCATCTTCAATGTCAGTTAGCATCATATACGCCAGCGAGATACCAACGTCGAAAATGTATGGACAAAACATACAGTCACCAAAATCCAATACACCACTTAGGTTCCACTGTGGTTCACTGTTAACACTGCCATCAGCTGACTGTTTTACTAATACATTCAACTCGTTGAAATCCCCATGAATAATACCTGTTGATACGATGATACAATAAAAGTGTTATTCAGACTTAATAAAGAGAATGTTCAATCAAGCAAGTGTTAGCAAATTCAATAATTAACAAAGTGAGAGTTTGCATCCATGATCCTTTTCATCCTGTCTGTCAAAAAATAAAAAAATACATTATTTTTTATTTGGTCGCAATGATAGAGTTTAAGTTAAATGATTCAGGGGTGCAGATTTTCGCTAGGGATCTGGGGTGGGAGTTACTAACAATTTCAGATTTTTATTCATCAACATGGCTCAACCTTACAATGGAAGTATGGTCCTTAATGATGTGGGTGTGGGAAACTAATATTTTCTGAGGTCATAAATAACAGGTTTCAAATTTAGGCCAACCTACTAGGCTATTATTTCATATTCACTTGAAAAACACATGCATGTTGGTAAAACTTCAAGTGGCCTATAGCCCCTCTAAATCTGCCCCTATGATTGGTGGGATCTTTTGTATGGAGTGACATATGTATGTTCAGGGATTAGAGAGTCTCAGATGTAAAGCTATTTGACATTTGCAGATGCTGACACTGGGGATACAATTTTATTTCATTTAGTTTCTTTAGGCACGAGCGCCAAGGATATGCCAATCACTGAACTTAACCCTTTGAACCTGGAAGGCCAGAAAAATGGCGCACGCTCTTACACTGCAATAACCCTAAAGGCCAGTATACCAGCTTTGTGGGTTAGGTGACGTTATTCGGGGTAATCACCTGACCAGTATGGGCAATGACCTAATTTTGTGACATCATCATTCCCAAGTCGTTCTGACAGCCTTGTACGTGTGGATTTCTTTGAAAAAACAAATTTATATTGAATAATTTGACAATAAATGCCAACAGTGCTTTACGATTGATACTTTATGACTACCAAGAAAATATTAATGATGACGATTATCCAGGAAATGATTTAGAAAGTGAAAGTGAGGTAAACAGTGTAGTTTCTAGCCCTAGGCTAGGCCGATCACGATAGTGGTGCTAGTGCCAGTGGCAGTGATGATAGTTGTGCATCAGGTTAATGGATGGCTACGGGTAGCGGTACAGGGCCTAGGAGGTGGTGGTGATGATTGTAATAAAAAAAAGCATATTTTGTCCAAATAACTCAGGGTGAGGGTGCCGCAAGATGTAAATAATGTAAATAATGCAGAGTTCAAAGGGTTAATCACTATCATTCCTGATGATGACATAATTAATGTTGAAATATTGAATCCCAACACGATGGCGAGCATTTCGATACTTGGAGTAGGTGTTATACTATCTAATCACTATCCTATGTGGCATATCCATTAAACGACAGGAGACCGAATTGACCAGTACAACGGGGTAATCCCTACTTTTTTCGCGAAGGGTGTACTGGGTTCTTTAAAGTGCACACGGGCCAAATGCGTACTCTGGGCCTACGGTTTAAAGCCCTTATCCGAGAAGACTTGTTCCACCACCGGAACCATTGGCGAGTGAGCTGTTTGAACCAGTTCCAATTTTCTAGGTTACGGTGCCCCTAACTTAACCGCTCGGCCAATCATCTTGTCGATAGACATTATGAAGATTTTTTAAATGTTACAAAAAACGAATATGTCATTATCATTATTGTCATTCATGCCTAAAACATTATTGACAATACCGTAAAACCTTGAATTGAAGCCCACTGGGCTTAATCTTGAGATGAAGCCCATCTCAAATTGAAGCCCCCTCTTTAGTTTGCAAAAGTAGCCTGGAAAAGAAGCCCATCTTGAAGAGAAGCCCATGGGCTTTTTTTCAAGATAGAATAGGCTTCTTTTCGAGATAGTACAGTATATGAATACTGTTCATGAATTTAAAAAAACAAAATAAATTAAAAACAAGGTTGGTTTATACAGTAGCTTAGGTGATTTAATGTCAGTTAAAAAATACACTCCATGATACAGATTGATGATACAGTGGCCGTATTGATTGTTTTACAGTACAAATTCACAAAATTTACAGCATTCATTTTGAAAAGAACCTCCCTCTTTTCTTTACAAAAGTAGTCTTGAAGAAAAGCCCATCTAAAGTTCGCAAAAAAAAAGAAGCCCAGGGCTTCAATTCAAGGTTTTACGGTAAGCTGTATGAGCTCAATATGATCCTTAATTCATGTAAAAAGCATGAATCGCCAACATTGTGACTCATATGATACTCTAGGGGAAGGTTTGTCTAAAATTTAATGATGTAACCATATTCGTTATCGTTTCCATAAGCTTGCGAAAACTCCCCAATAAATCCAACATACCTCGATTCAGTTTTTCATGGTGTGGAAAAACTTCACTCTCAAATCGGTCAAGGACAGATTGTGACACGTTCTGTTGCCATTCTTCCTTGGGTAAGTGTAAAAATTCACGGGTTTTGAGAGCCGACAGCAAGTTCCAATCATAACTCTCACGGTTTAGTGATGGGTGCTCATAGTCCTAAAAAAGTAAAAGTTTTAGAATTAAACTTTATATTTAATAAACCATAGTTTAATATATTCTTCTTAAATAAGTGTTAATCTGTAATTTGTTCTGAATTTTATGGTTTATTGCTACAATGTAAAGTATGAAAACATTGAGCAATCAAATGTTAATGTAGGTCTATGCTATTGTACTTGGAAGCATCATTTTTAGTCGCGTACATAATGATTCTTGTGGGGCTAGGCTCCAGGGTCCCTTGTCAAAAAGATGTGTGAAATTAAAAGTAAATTCTATATGATTTACTGTATAATCACACAATATAATTATATTATTTAAATATACTGACATTGCCTTTAATGCAGTCTTTTCTGACGTTATATTTAAATGTTCTTAGGTTAGCATCGTTACACCACTGATCATTTGTATTGGAAATACTTGAATTCAAAGGCGTAATATTCAATGGGCAAGTCCCTCTGTAGGCCTCCCACTAACAAATACATACCTTCCATGCATTATGCATCTGAGCTAGAGTCTTGCCCACATTGTAAAATATATCAAGAGGAATTTGTTTGGCAGTTACCAACATTTGTCCAGGAATGTATGTTAACAGACGAATCATGTAGTCAGCTTCTTTAGTAACACCTAGAAAAAGGAAAACAAGTTTTATGTGAAGTCTTATGTAAAGGAAAACTAATTGCTGGTTTGATTGATTTTTAAAAAGTTTGGGTAGACCATTTAGAACATTAGAATTAAAAAAATATCATTTCCACAATAACAAAACAAGTTTCTACCATTAATAAAAACTTACCATCTTCCGTAACTTTTTTGAAGTGTTCTAAACTACATAATTTCCCATTGATGTCTTTTAGAGGCACTGGAGCTGGAATACCAGCTTCTTGGAGCCGAATCATCAACTCAGTTTGTGCTTCAAACACTCCTGTATTTTGTGATAACACTTTGTTGAAGATCTTGAGTACAAATTCGTCTTGATTGTCATAATTATCATCTGTTTTTATGTAGAAATTCAAGTCATCGTAGCTATCCAATTTTTTGATGATGACTGCATTCATATTGTATGTGCTTTTCATTATCTTTTTAGCATCATCTCTTGTAGTAAATGGAATACTGCCAACCATTTCTTGCAAATCAGTTCCACTGGACATGTCAGCTGCCATCTCATAAGAAACTGCAAATTAAAAATAGAAGAATTAACATATTTTGTACTACAGACTGTCACCTACTGTACCAATACAGTTGTAAACAAGCCTCACATATTATTTCAGTATGTGTTGCAGGGGAAAGAAGGTGGAACAGGTGAAGGTGGAGGATTCCAGAAGACGCACTAAATTCCTTTTATGTTTGATTTTGTCACATGGGCTTCTAAGAGATCAGACACAGTAAAGACAAGAACTCTTCAGAACTCTATATGACTTAAAGTTTATAATGCAAGCTTCAACTCACTCACTATACTCAAACAGCATTGTAAATAAATCAGGCAGAAATATACTTATGCAAAAAAAAATAAAAACAAAAAACAGCACATTTTTATTCGCAATATAATTAATAAATATGGCTGACTTGCACAAAACTTTTAAAAAAAGTTTTAAGAAATAATGCAAATAACATAAATATTATTGGTACGACTTTGTATCCTAATTCATGCAGGCCCATAGGCAGAATTTTGGTGGAGAGGAGGCTGCATTAGAGGTGGTTTGGGGTGAAGCCCCTGGAAGCTCCAGCAAAGTAGCACTTTGATGGCCTTATAGGGTCTATAATTAATTTCTGAAACCCGTAAACTGAAGAACTGAAAAAATTACGTTCTCCTTTATAGACAGATGTAAGTGGCCCACAGGCGAGACTTTTGTAATACCTTATTAAGCAAACTTTTTTAAAAAGACCGTTAGAGGGAAGAAAAATTAAAATGAAATTTTGTTTTCTTATTTAGCAAAATGATTTCGCCAAAAGCATGAGGAGAAAATAAATATAAAACATTATTGATGAATGTATACAGTGTAGTAATGTGATTGATAAATGCTTTAACTTAATTATAATTAAGAAAAAAATCATATTTTTGGAGATTTTATGAGGGTGTATAATAACAGGCACGGATATAGCGGGGAGGGGGTGGCATGAGAGCCCGTTCCCCCACCCCACCGTCGGTCAAGCCGAAAAATAAAAAAGAGGGAGAAAAATTTATAGACAGGAAAGCGGGGAAAAGGGAGTGAACCTATGAGTTCAGTGGCAATCCGGCAGTAGGAGGAAGGAGAGCTCAATTGTTTACCACTTATTTACACTAAGCATAGTGGCCCAGAGGTGGGCGTGGCGGCATGGACTTCATATTGTGTCCCCCGTCTGAAAATCTCTGGAAAATATCTATAAAAAAAAAATAAAATAAAAATTGTTCTGAATTTCTATTTTTTAGCAGAATTTTTTTTTTGTTCTGGCATACAATTTCATTTATGAGGGACCCTGAAATATAAAAAATATGGTTACATTTTTCTTACCCGGGTAGTTTCGCCAGCTCCCCATCCCAAATAAAAAGGCCAAATCGACCCATAGGCTTAATGACCCTGATAGTCTAAGCATGGAGGTATATAAAAATAGATTTTATACCGCGATAGATGGGCGATGGTCAAGTCGGTACTTCGTATTAAACTGTCGTTTTCGAGCAAGAGTTATTAAAAATCGTCATACAATATGGACCTATACATGGCGCTTCATAATGAGTGATTAATTTTCATACGAATATCTTACCGTAGCCCACTGCAAAATAAAAAGGACGATGTATAATGTTTAAGTATTACCTTCTTTGACTGGTCGCTACGAACGCGAAATATCGAGCACGTCTGCCTTGTGGGTACACGGCCAAGCCCAAACCATCCACGTGGTATTTTTATTGCAGTAGTTAATTTACTATTGAGAAGATTCAACAAAAAAAAAATTGCTTTCCACGCTATTTCTAATAGTCTACTGGATGTACTGCCAAGAAAACAAAAAACCTGCCGACATGTATTAGAGTTTCAGGTTAGGGTCACTCCAGCTCCACCAAGGTCATACTTCGTACGTTCATTCAATACTTTTTCTGATGATTGCGTGCCCAGTGATGCATACTACGGTAGGCGGTACTGTCAGCTGCTGCCAACTCAAAGAAAGTGATAAAAAGGTGGTGTCGTCCTGAGCTTCAGATATGTCAAGAGAGGAAGATATCATAACAATTCGGCAGGGAAACTCTTCGGTTTCCATTCATCACCATGGTAATACTGCAGTATGCGTACCTGCTAGTACAGTACTACGTTTATACCTCCATGGTAGAAGTAGACTAGAATACAGCAACCGATGCTAATTTTGAGCTGCACGCTTCCGGGTTCATATTGCTGTCTACAGGCAGGGGGTGGATGTTGTGGGATCGGGTATATGGGACTTCCTAAATTCATGCACATTCCCTAAGGTTGTGGGTGTCCCACGAGTAGGTGCTATCATATCTTCATGCATGGAGGTATTCTTCGTTCTCCGTGAACCACGGGACTGATCAAGTATAATTTCCAAGAGATAGACTTAGTTCCAACTACAGTCCATGGTCGATGAAATCGGGACCTGGAAGTTGTTCTGAGCACTCTGTACCCATGTTAATACCTAATTTGTATTTAATATTAATATCTAATTTGTTACCTCATTGCTACAATATGAAGGTGCTTCAATTCCAATCACCACCCGGATATGCTACTGAATCGTTTTAGAAAAATGATATCTCAGTGTTTTTATTTATCCCTGGATGACTTTGTCACTATACTATCATTTCCTATAGTATAAGATTTATTGGCTGTTACATTTTATTGTTAGGCTACCCAGTATTATTGTTGTTTTAAATGTTCAAATAATTTCAACATGAAACAATTGTTATATTTTATTATTTTGTTTTATTCAGGCAAAAGATATTTACAGTCGAGCAAAAGACAAGAAAGACAAAGTAGATATTTTGCACAGTGTTGAAGACCTAGATCTGTGCAGGAAATATTGTGCAGTTTCTTCCTGCACAATAGAATGTTAAGAAGGTTCTAAAGTCGGCCTAGTCTTTCATTTACCATTGCAAAATTTCAAAATTATACATCTATATTAAATCTTCCATTTTTACTTTACAACTGGAAGAATTTACTGTATGTACAACAGAACACATTTTTTCATGATTGTTAAAAATTACGTTGAGCATTATTATTATATATTGTATTATTATATTATTAATTATTTTATTTTTTATGGCAGGAGCAACTGTTACTTCATGGAAATGTGATGGATTAGAAATGCTTTTTGTAAGGTTTGTATTTTGCTATTTCAGTACCAAGTTTTACAGAGCAAAGAGCTGTTTGTATGTCAGACCTGCACATGCGTGTAGGGTGGGTTCTGGGCTTAGGGTTGGAGGGACTTCGGCTTGAGTGTTTAATAAATAATACATCTTGCAGTTTAAAATAAAGATAATAATTTTCCATATTATTATTTATTATCCATTTTTTGTTTTATCTAAATTTATGTACAGTGTATTGAGAGCTTGCTTATATAAGAAGGAACTCTTATTATTATTGTTATTATAGTACTGTAATTACAATACAAATGTTTATGTCATATAAGAGGGCTATATTCTTTTTTAGTGTGGTCTGTTTAAATGGTAGGTTTTGCAGAAGTGGGATTGTGTCGTACCACACTGCAGAAATGATTTATCAAGCCATGCTGCCAAGCATAACTGGATAAGAGTCCTGGCCAATGAATATGTTCCCCAATATAATTTTTAGATATACAACAAATAAATATACTAAACTAGTCATCTCAAGACAACCTTAACTTTCACAAAATACTAGCATCTAAAATTTTTAATTTTTCTTTATTGAATGTACAGCAAAGATGCAATCTTTAACAACAAGAAAGCTATTAGAGGAGGAATCCCAGTGGTCTTTCGTAAGTTTAATAAAAATATTGTTTGTATTATCGTTTGTAAAAGCAATTCAGTTTTGTGTTCTTTTAACAATTCAATATTGTTAATGTGATATTCATGTTTCATTTACTCAAATCACACATTTCTGAACAATTTGCTTTTGACATTCAAGCTAATTTTGGTCCATGGGAACTTGGCCCTCAACATGGATTTGCACGAATAACAAGGTGGACCTTGAAAGAATCAGTATCGGTAAGTGTCATGGAAAAAAATATTCACAAAGGTCTGTTGCAGTTTTTTTGGTCTATGTCCTCTTGGGGGCAAAGACACTATGTTGTCATCTGGCAGTTAAAGATGGCTGAAAGGGTAAATCCTGTGGAGGTGCATGATGGGCCATCTTAAGTACCTTATTACTGTACAAAAGTCATAAAAAAAAAATCACACATTTCTTGATAACCGAATCCCATGTAGATAATTTATTAGTATAATAATAATTCTGGATTTATATAGCGCCTCCCGTTGACACAACCTCGAAGCGCTTGAACATTATTACCCCGGATCAAGCACATATGGAACACACACTCAAGGCCCATAGGGGAATTCCATAATGTTGCAGCTGTATTCAGCGAAGGCTGTGTTTGGAGACAACCACAGATAAAGTGCCTTGCCCAAGGACACAAGCGACTTGCACAGCGAGAGTTTCAAACCCCCGACCTCGAGTCCAAACCACAACCGATGCGCCAACCACTTCTACAATTAGTAAACATGATACAGTAAGGCAATATAGTGCAAAGACACACGGTTCCGCTGGGAGCCTATGTTTTCATGTAGTTTTTAATCTTTATTTTTATATTGATTTTTTTTTTTTTTTGTAATTTCAAAATCACTTCTCATTATGGAAATGAGGAAAAGCCTTATGTTCGGTTTAGCCTTATGTTCGGTTTTCCAAACAGAGTCTAGTTTATCTTGTGTGAATCTGGTATAAGCTGTGACACTTGCTTCAAACTACAAGAGCATTTTGTTCTTAATCTTACTGTAGAATGAAAGCTGTGGAGAAGCTAAAGCTGTTTTTACCCTAACTGATACTGAAGAAACTCGTAAAATTTGGAATTACAAGTGAGTATTTTTCCAAAATTTTACAATCATCAATTTAGACATTCAATCAGTTACCAAATTTCAGCCATTATTTCATTGCTTAGTGTGTGTAATTTTACATATTTCTATCTCAAATGTGTATGTTTATTCTTTTTTTTTCAATAGCTTTTGTGTCACCTACACAATTTTGTTAAGAAACAAAGAATTTGAGACAAGACTACAAGTTGAAAATTCAGGTATAGTGTGATTGTCAATGACTGTTATTAATGTGTATTGCACATCGGTGAGAAGAGATGAGAAAACGTTGAAGTCAGATAACGTTAATCCATTAAGTATTCCCCATCTATTTGGCACAGTGGAATTGGTTTGGTTTCCCAAGCTGGAGGTCAGGGTTTCAATCCTTCGATGTGCATTTTGCTTATGTACGTCCTTGAGCAAGGCACCCAGGGGAGCATCACATTCTCATCTGCTTCACACTACTTGAATCTGGGGATAAGCTCCAGCCGATATGAGCCCTGTGGCTCAGCAAGGATTTACTTTTACATCCATACTATGGACTAATCACAAAAAAAAGCTTATGTTTTGAATTAAAAGTCAATGTAGTAAAAGTAATTACAGTATTTTGTGAATAATAAAAACTGGACATTTTGTAACAAAGGAATTTCAGGTCTCAAAATTTCCAGGTTGTGAGGTATCCGTGGTAGGGTCACTGGGGTTTTTAAGTTGCACAGTTAACTAAATGGTAGCCTTATGCTAATTGGCTAATTTTAATTTGTTAATTTATTTGTTTCTCCTTCACAGAATTGTAGAAGAACAACTTTTGTTGAAACAAGGTTTCCCGTGTTAAAATAAAGCTAATTATTATTATGTATCTAGCATAATTATCTAGCTAGGGGGTGCACGTGGAGAGATGCACATCCTCCCAAAAAAGCCCGCACCCACATAGGAACTGGTGAAAGCCAAAAATAATGCTCAAGTAGTTAAAATTCATTTTATACGATTTTATTTTGCAAGCTAGTACCGCCTCCCTTATGTAATCATCAATCCCCCAACACCTTTATACCTCCCATCAGCTCCCCCCTCCCCTTCAAACTTACTAAGTCGCATACATTCAAGGTCTAAACAAAATATATATTGTGACTTTTGTAGCCTTCTTATTAAACATTCTTTATCTGCAGTACTTAAAATAGGATTGGTTTTGTGAATACCAGTCACTTCAGACCAAAACAAACTCAGCACAAACATAGAACTCGGCCCAAAGTCTTCAACAAATTGGCCCCCAGCAGACAAATCGACCAAACTAATCAACTCATACCAAAACCTACTCTGACCAAAGTTCAATGTGGCAATATGTTTATAATGGTTTCTCTTGTAATAGTTCGTCAGGGAGAAAAAAATTTATATGTATTTTGTACATATTAGTAGATTCTAAATCGATTAAAATAAACCTTTGAAACCCCTAAATTGTCAAAATTGGAGCACTTCCGAAAGATTTTGAGCGACGCCCGACCACGCCCACTTTGCTCTCGTCAGTGACTTTGACCCTCCCATCGGGGACCTCAACCCCTCCCTCCAGCAAATCCTGGTGCCACCCCTGATGAGCATCTCTATTATATATTTTGATTAGTTAAAACTAGATGCACATCTTAAGGTGGCAAAGAATGCATTTCTGGGCATCTAGGAAAAAAAATTTCTGAAAAATATTTCACGCCAGTAACTTTGAATCTGCCCATTTCAAGACAGCACTAGAGACATTAGTCTATCTAGCTCACTCCCGAAATTTTAACGTATACATGTACAGATGGCAAATGATTGATTGATACTAATGATGATTAATTTTGATTATTACTTGTAGGGTCTGATGAGTTTGAGTTTACAACTCTTTTACACACTTACTTCTCTGTACCTGATATCAACAAAACAACAATATCTGGCCTCCAAGGACTCCAATTCATTGACAAGGTAATTATTATATTTGTATGGTTTAGGAGTGTAAACACATAATCATTAAATCAGATGCAAACATGTCTGAGCAGAATAGCCTGCTTGCTTACTCACTGTGCAAAAAATGGTGCATTAGAACTTTTTACTCGGCAATCGTCAGGCAACCTGTTGATACTGCGTTCTGATTGGTCAAATATTTATATGTTGATACCTGTTGAACTGCTTTGGTTATTCATTACCTGTTATGTAACAGGTTCCTAATACAACTTTAATTGTCTGTTATATTTTATTCAGGATAATAAGCAATTACAGTCAGGTTTTGAGTTCATTATAGGAAATAGAAGCCGAAGGAACTCCTGTCACATCTAATTTCTGATTGACAGACCTGTGGTGTCAAAATACTCTTCATAATCAATAATAGCACTGGAACTACACTATTAATTGCTACATTCAACATTTAATTACACACACTACTACACTATTAAACACAATGAAAAGTTAAGCCAGGCCTGTCAATAATTGTTGCAACAGAGTTAGACTTGTCTCTTATACACATCT